TTAATTTATTTTTTTTGTTTTTTTAGCAATAAACCTGGTCATCAATCTCGTGAATGTCCTGAAGAAAGAAAACCTCGTGGTATAACTAACTTTTTTATATTTTTGAATTCTTTATTTATCTATTTATTTTTTGTAATGTCCTTTAGATGGTGGTGGTAATAGTTTCGGTGGTTCTGGTGGTCGGAGAAATAATAATCGAGTAAGTTAATATTTATTCTGAAAATAACACAAAAAAAACGCATTAATTCATTTAGGCATCTGATGATATTTTTGATCAACGTAAGTATATACGTATAAGATAGAACAATAATTGTAATAATTATTTTTTTTAATAGCTGGTGGTCGTACTGGTAATCAACCAAATGAACGTTATGTTCCACCACCTCCACCAACTACTGAAGATGGTATATTTGGTGAAGCAGTTACCAGGGGTGAAAATTTTGGAAAATATCACCAAACACACGTTAAATGTACACCTTCAGGTAATTAAATATTCTTTATTTCTTATATTTAATTTTATAATTTTTTTTTTTTAAGACAAAGTAAAACCAATTGAATTATATGAAGAAGCTAATCTTGCTACACAAATTTTATCAAATATTCGTCGTGCTAATTTTGAAGAACCAACAGCTATTCAACGTTATACAATACCTTGTATACGACAACAAGATGATATAATGGCTTGTGCTCAAACTGGATCTGGTAAAACAGTAAGTTTCAGATTTTTTTTTGCTTTATTAATATTAATTGTTAATCAAATAATATATTTAGGCTGCTTTTCTCTTACCAATTATTTCAAATTTACTTGAATATCATGTGGATGAATTATCTGAAAGCTATCATCCACCATCACCACTTTGTCTTATTGTTTCACCTACACGTGAACTTGCTTTACAAACTGAACGTGAAGCAAGAAAATTTGCATTTCAAACTGCTGTATTACCTTGTATGTTATGTTTTAAAAAAAACTCAAACACATTAAAAAATTTTTTTTTTCTATCCAAAGGTTCTGCTGTTGGTGGTCATGACATGTTTGCTGTATCGGATCGTCTCCGAGAAGGTTGTCATATTCTCTCAGCTACTACCGGTCGTCTCAAAGATATGGTTGAAAAAGGCCGAGTAAAATTTAATTTAATTTTTATATGTAAAAATAAGAACAAAAAAAATTTCTTTTTTTCTATCAAGGTCTCATTAAAAAAAGTTAAATATTTTGTTCTCGATGAAGCCGATCGGTATGTAAAAAAACAAAAAACTATTGCATTGAATCTAATCTGTCTTGGTTTTTTTTTTCTTAAAGAATGTTAGATACAGGTTTTGAACCTGATATACGTAAATTAGAAGATCTTGGTTTACCACAAAAAGATGAACGTTTTACATCAATGTTTTCTGCAACATTTCCAAAAGAAGTACAACAATTAGCTAAACATTTTCTACGTGACAATTATGTTTTTCTTGCTGTTGGTATACCTGGTGGTGCTAATGAAGATATAGCACAAACAATTGAAGAAGTGCCACAACCAAAAAAAAAAGATCGTCTTTTTCAATTACTCGAACAAAATCTTAGTAGGAGAAAATAAGACAACAAAAAAACAAACATTATTTTTGTTTTTTTTCATTTAGAATCTGAACGTTGTTTAATATTTGTTGAAACAAAACGATCAGCTGATTATATAGGTGCATTACTTTCACAAAAGCAATTTATGAGTACAACAATGCATGGTGATCGAACACAAAGACAACGAAATGAAGCTGTACAACAATTTACAACTGGAAAATGTCCAATACTTGTTGCAACATCAGTTGCTGCTCGTGGTTTAGATTTTCCTTTAATTGGTTATGTTGTTAATTATGATTTACCAGATACAAGTGATTTTTATATTCATCGTATTGGTCGAACAGGTAGAATTAATTCGACAAAAAAAAAAAAAAAATTTCATGAGCTTTTGGTTTTTTTTTCTTTTCTATAGGTCGTGCTGGTCATTTGGGTAAATCAATATCATTTTTTGATCCAGATCGAGATTCTGATCGAAAAATTGCTCCTGAACTTATATTAAAATTAAGTGAAGTATGTAGTTTTTTTGCATTGAAGATTTCTTTTTGAATTCTTTTATTTGATTAGGCTGGTCAAGCAGTACCTGAATTTCTTAAAAAATATGCTGATGATGGTAATGTTGGATTTTACAATGATGGTCATGGTTCACGAACTACTGATGTACGTGTTGATTTTATTTTAATTATTAAATTTTTCGTTCTTTTTCTATTTTAGATGAGATCTGGACATAATAGTTTTGGTAGTCGAAATCAACCAAGTGGTCCTACTGGTGGTACAGTTTCTGCTGGTGCGACTAATGAAAATTGGGATTAAGAAAAAGAAATGTTTGTTTGTTTGTTTGTTTTTTGTTTTTATATAAATAAAATATAAAATTGTTGTTTTGTGCTTTGTACATTCCGAACATATGTTGAACAATAAGTCAAAACGAACAAGATTTTCTTTTTTTTTTTCTAATACAACACTAGTTCGGAAAGAACAGTTCATTGAATTGTTTGTACATTTAGTTTCTTGCGTTTTTCTCTTTCTTTCTTTTTTTTTTGTCTTTGTAAACACTTACCAAAATAAAGTATGTAACTTCATCATCATTCGTTCTTTATACATCGTTAAGAAGAAAAAAAGAAATGTCGGCGTTTTTCTTTCTTTTTTTTGTTTTGTCCTTTGATTTATTTTTTCTTTTCGATGTTTTTCAAACCTATTTTCTTTACTAGGAAGTATTCGAATGATGGTGATAAATTTGAAGGTTAAAATCCAAATATATGTATGAGAGTATATTTTCAATCAGATACTTCTAGTGATTTCTTTTGTTTTCGTCTTTTGTTAATCATGAGCGTGAATATATTTGATGCGATATGAAAGGTATCAAACTACGGTGCTTTTCAAAGTGTTTTCCCTTCACTCTTTTTTTTTGCAAAATAAAATACGCAGAGATATTGAAAGTACAATTATTAAATCAATACATTATTGGATTTGTACAGAATACTTAAAGTTTACATTATATAAATGGTATCAAGATGAAATGGATTTACTTTAGGCTAGATTATTTTTAACATTTGATGAAAAAACAGGGATGGATAATTTCACTATGTCCTGCTTCAAATCTGTCTACCGATTGCAAAATTTCATCCCAAGTTCGATGAGAGAACGCGTCAACTTCAATTCTGAGTTAGAGTTGCTCGTCTCTTATAAGGAAGACAGATGAAGAAAAACATATAGCAGTGTTTCATGAAACTATTTGATCTTTTAACTTGTTGTTTGTAGTTCAAGATCGTTCGCTATGAATGAAGCTGCAATAAAAGATGTATTGTAATCAAGATAAAACTTAAGTTTTGTATCTTACAAACTTCTACAATGTTTTCATCTAGATAAACATTTGGTGTAGACGTGTCAGAGCTTGAGTTAATATTACAGATACAACTACATCTGTTCAACGAATTCACAGAATATTTAATAAATGATTTCTATGAAGTTCATTGTTTACGAGTCGTTTTCAGAAGAATTGTAACTTTTGATGAACTACATCTTTAAGTTCTTTTCTGTATTTTGTATTCTCTCAGACCTTACTTTCTGTGTATAGGACAAATATCAATGTATTTAATTACAAACTACAAAAAAAAGTAAATTATAGTCTTCTATGCATGATATATGGATTCAATCCTTATCAGAATGTCATTCAAAAAGTTAGTGTAATCATGAAACAGTTGATAGAGGCGTATGTTGCTTTTTTTTCTCTTCAAAAAAAAAAACTGAAACTGAACCTAACAATGGAAGAACATGCACTGTAAATTAAGGAGATCGAACTTGTTCGCATCAAGTGAATGTTCTTCTCACTGTCAAACTAACTAATTTAAAATATGAACAGCCCATAACATTCAAGGATCGACGTATTCGAATTTCAAAGTAAGTGTAGTCTATATTATGTGGTCACACTTCAAAATTGCAACAACTTTTTTTTTCATAGTTTGATTGAGCTCAGTGAGTTAGATAAAAGGAAAATAATATCACAAATATTCAAAAAGCAATTTTACAAAAGCGAGAATTTTATATCTATTACCCTTATATTTAATAATAATGGTATCTTGGACGTTGTCGTAAAATTGCTTTTCAACATGTGTGATATCGTTTTCTCATTTGAGCATGACAAAAAAAAATGCTGCTGCAATTTTGAAGTATGGATACACGAACTAGCCTTTAGATACCTTGAAAATCGAATATCTCGGTTCATAAACGCTACGAGCCGCTCAGATTTTAAATGAGTTAGTTTGATAGTGAGAACATGATTAATCTCCTTAATTAACATTCGACAATATTCCATTGTAAAATGAGATCGCAATATGATGAAACTGATTTTCAAAGATGAAACTATTGCTATCATGCAATGTTAAAGCAATACACAGATAATTGATACTTAATTTAATGTTTAAATTTGACAAGAAAATTGTCGACGAACCATAAAAGAGATAAAATTCATATCACAATTTTTCACAAAGAAATTTTTCAATCAATCAATTTGATATCTATATATTTATATGAAGCTCATCAATTTTTGTATCTTGATTCTAAGCGAACATGTAAATATGTTTCAATTTTTTGATAGAATATCATATGTGAACTTCATTGAACTCTTACGTATTAGATAGAATGTATTCGTTATGTGACCATCAATTAATATATTTGTTATTAAAACAAAAAAAAGTTTGACTACACTGTTAAAGAGCTTGACTCTTCAATAAGTAAGTGTTGATTGTTTTACATAAACGAATACATTAATTACCAATTAGTGTTTATTTATTGAATACATAAATGCGTGAAATAATCATATTTCTCATCGGATGTCAATTTGATTGGTACACGAAAGAGAGAAAAGATATCCAAGTATATATATATTCAAAAAAAACAACAATAATAGAAGAATATTTAACTGCCGATCAACTTGAGTAATAATCAAATTATGGCATCATCATATGATGGAAATTGTTCATCTTATTGGTCGTATTCACCATATCCTTATAGTAATAGTTATGATACATCTTCATCAAATTCATCATATTTTGAATCACCTATGTCATCATCATCATCATCATCTCCACATATGATTATGTGTCCAGTGTATGATCAACAACAACCTGGTTATTATTATTATTCTGATGGTACTTTTCCTTATCACCAGTTATCACCACCGATCGTACCATCATCTCAAGTAAAATTTCCTTGAAATTATCGATTTTTGTTTTTTTTAACTTGCTTTATTTTAGATTGGTTATGTTCCATCATTATCACCTCCACTTCCTCGTTCAACAACAAATCTTCCTAATCGATTACAATATACCATTCGTCAACGTTGGTTACTTAATGAAATATTCGAACATGTTCCTTATCCTAATAGTATTCAAAAGAATGTTATTGCCGATCGAATAGGAGCTACACGTGAACAAATTCGTAAGCTTTCTTTTTATTTTATTTCTAATGGTACTAGCGAAAAAAAAAACCATCGTTTTATAAAATTTCTCAGGTATTTGGTTTCAAAATCGTCGACGAATATCAGTACAAAGTCATCGTTCATCTTCTCGTCGTATTAATCCATTACCAATCGATAATAATCATTTAATTCAATTGGAACTTGAAGAAATTTTAGCTGATCTTGAATTACATAAAAATGCTCCACAACGAATGCCTATTGGACAAAGTATATCATCTCGACGTGTTCGTGTAATGAAAAAATAAATATTGTGTTTTGTTTTTTTGTTTTTTTTTCTATATTTCAATAAAAAAAAACCTAATGGCAATTATGTCAATAATAATTCTTTATCTTTATTAAAGTTGAAGCAACATTTCCACCTTTTCATATTTTTTTTTTTTTGAGTTATATTAATATATCATTGAGCATTGGACGTGCTTGTCACAGAAAATATTTTCTTCCCTTCCGGTTGATTTATCAATAAAACGATCAACAAAGAGCTGTAGATGAACACGCACACAGACACGTAAAGACAAGGTCTAATATAGTTCGTGTAACGGACGAGAAAAAGAAAGTAGACAAGAACGTGAAGAATTTTATAAAACCTTCATTGACTCTTTTTTGAATGTTCACAGAGAGTTAAGCAGTAGTGTTGATTAATATCTTTATTTTCTTCTTTTGTTTTACGCATATTACCTCCACTTGTCTGTCAAAGCAAATGAGTCGAGAATACGATAAATAGAGAGAAAAGAGAAAAAAAAAGAGTATTAATCGAAGATTTTGAAGAATGATAAGAGCCAGATTAAATGGAAACGACACAAAGCAAATATGAAGTATTTTTAAAAAAAAACAGAACATTTGGCCAAATGGAATCTTCATCAACAATTGAACATGAAAAAGTAATGAGAACTTTCATTTCTTTTGTGTTTTTTTTGTTCATATATCTTCTATTTTTGTTTTAATAGTTACCTAATCCAAATGCTCTATGGATATTACTTGATAAATTAGGTGAAGGTACATATGGACAAGTTTTTCGTGCTAAACATTATAATTCTGATGAATATGTAGCAGCAAAAATAATTCGTCTTAAATCCGAAGATATTTCGAATGAATTCGAAAATGAATTAAATATTTTAAAGAAAATTTCTAAACAACAAGAGAATTTACCTGATTTTATTGATCTATTTGGTGATTTTGATGAATTCAATGTTCCACGTATATGGTTCGTTATGGAACTATGTCATTTAGGGCCAATTACTCAACTATTAAAACAAATTCAAAAAGAAAATCAATTAAATAAATGTGAAAAAGAAAAATTAGTTGCTTATGCATTAAAAAGTACATTAAAAGCATTAAAATATCTTCATCAATCAGGTATTATGCATCGTGGTAAGTCATATATATTTTTCTAAAAGAAGAGCACTAATTCTTTTTATTTTCATATTAAAGATATCAAAGGTAGTCATATATTAGTAACAGAAAATTATATTATAAAATTGATTGATTTCGGTGTTGCTGCTTTCTTTAGTAAAGCACAGCCAAAACGTAATTCTAGTGTTGGTACTTCACTTTGGATGGCACCTGTAAGATAAAAACAAAACCAATTGTAATGTTTGCTTTTTTTTTTTAATAATTATTAACATATAGGAAGTCATTGCATGTGCTCAGCAATTGGAATATTCATTTGATGAAAGATGTGATATATGGTCTCTTGGTATAACAGCTATTGAATTAGCTGATGGCGAAGCACCATTAAGTCAATATCATTCAACAAAAGCTTTATTTGAAGTTCCACGTCGTCCACCACCGACATTAAAAGATACAACACAATGGTCAGAAAATTTTAATAAATTTATTTCAGCTTGTTTAATTAAAGATTATGAATATCGACCACATGCCGAACAACTATTAACAGAACAATTATTTGTTAATTTTGATGATCAAACAACAGATTTATATCGAAATTTATTAAAAACTTATCATATGAAATATTCATCCACAGATATTTCAAATAAATCTGTTGAAAGTGATCAATCAACAATAATTAATGATCATACAGAAGTTTTAAATATTAATCCTTGGATTGAAAATATAAGTAAATCAGCAGATTTAATTGATTGTGAAAATAATTTAGCACAAATTGATTATCTTGATCAAGAACGTCTTATTAATTCCATACGAAAACGTTTTAATAAAACATTAATTTATACATATATCGGTGATGTTTTATTAGCAATTAATCCTAAACAATTTTTACCTATTGATAATCTTCATTTTCAATTAAAATATTTAAAAATTACAAAACGTTTATTACCACATATATTTGCAATAGCTACAAATGTTTATAATCAAATGATGATTAGTCGACAACCACAATGTATTATTCTTTCAGGAGAATCTGGTTCAGGTTAGATTTATATATTTTATAGAATTTATCTAAAGAAAAAAAAAATTTCTTAAGATCGAATAGTATTACTTTATATTATTGATTGTAGTAGAATTCATGTTTTTAGAAAATGTATTTCTTTTTTTTTAAAGTACTTATTATTTTTTTTGTCTACTTAGGTAAAACACATGCAGCACAAAATCTAATAAGTGAATTAGCTCTACTTGGTTTTGGTGAACAACGTGCATTAGAAAATCGTCTTGTTACAATGAATTTATTACTTGAATCATTTGGTAATGCTGAAACATCATTAAATAAAAATTCATCACGTTTTGGTAAACTTCTTGATATATTTTTTTCTGAATATGGTACAATTGTTTATGTTCAATTATCTCAATTTCTTCTTGAAAAAACTCGTGTTGTACTTGCAAGTGGTAATAAAAGAAATTTTCATATATTTTATTCAATATATTTACATTTTTCTCAACAACAAATAAATCCTTGTATTTTAATTGATCAAGAATCATTTGAATTATTTCAAACAATAACATATTATACATATCTTGGAAATAGTTCGAATCAAATATTATCATCATTATCATTAATTGATTTATTTCAAATATTAAAAGAATTAAATATTACAGATGATGAACAATCATCAATATTAGCTATTCTAACTGCAATTATTCATTTAGGAAATATTTCATTTAAAGCTGAAACAGAATTTAATGAACCTGGTTGTTCAATTGATGAACAAACAAAATTACATTCAAATGCTGTTTATCGTTTATTAAAAATTGATAATGATCAATTTATTCAATCATTATGTCAATCAAGTTTAATGACACGTGGTGAAACAGTTACAAAATTAAATACTATTGCTGAAGCACAACAAACACGTGATGCTATGGCAAAATCTCTTTATTCACGTTTATTTGATTGGATTGTATATGCATTAAATCGTTATTTTCGTACGGAACTTGAATATCAACCAAAATCAATAATTGATATTCGTAAACAACATGAAAAAGATGTATTAAATAATAAATTATCTGTTCAATTTAAAATAAATGACGAATTAAATACAAAAAAACGAAATGATAATTTACATTCAATATCAATACTTGATTTATTTGGTTTTGAAACATTTGATTATAATTCTTATGAACAATTATGTATTAATATTGCTAATGAACAATTACAATATTTTTTTCGACAACATACATTTGCATGGGAAATGAAAGAATATGAAAATGAAGAAATACAAAATACAAGTTAGTATGAATAAAAAAGTCTTCTAATGAAATAAAAGAAGTTTCATGATGAAAAATTAAAAATATTTGTTTCATCTTTCCAGAGTTTTGTGTTCTCCATCAAAACTATCACATCTTGCATTCTAATTAGTAAAGCATATGAATTAAATACAAACTATTTGTAAAGATAAGCAAGTTAAATAGATTTGGTAAAAATCAATAATGACAGAGTAGATAAAAGTACATTTTTTTATCAAAACGTTATGAAATTATTTTCTGATAGATGTAAAACTCTTTATTCAAACATCAATTAAATAACAAGGGAAGGTTCTTAAGTGATAAAATCACTTTTAAACTAGAATTATATTGAATCGATAGGGTCTAATAAGTAAATAAATACCCTAGAGTAGTTCGAGCTGTTGGAGAGGAAAGATCTCAGAATTTTCTGATCAAGTCTCTCCGAGATATGAATTTTTCAAAATACAGGTGCTTTGCTATAGTTATTGTGAAAAAACATGAATATTTTGAAACAATCATATCTCGAAGAGATTTTGTCAAAGAATTGTAAAGTTTTTTTCTCACAAGGTAGTCTCATGGGGACCTTTATATGTAAGCAAATTTTTAGATCAATATTCAAAAGTATGATTTCGTTTGAAAACCTTGTGCTCTACAGGAAATATCTATTAAACATTCAAAAACCGCTAAAATATAAGCTCAACAGATTGAACCATTCTACGGTATTTACCTATTCATTAGATTCTATTGATTGAATATCGTCTCAAGTTAAAAGCGATTTATCATTTGGAAAACTTCTTTCGTAAGTCAACTGTTATTTGATTTAAACATCTGCCAGTCTTTTTTTCTAAAATATTTATTACGTGTTTTTGTTGTATTTTCAAGCGATTAATGTAAATCTACCCGTCTTTCATACACATACAATACTGATCTCACACACCTATTACTAACAGATTAGTTCAAGGATGCAGCGACAGCCGGTGTGTGTATCCTCCTCCGGGAGAAAGTTTTCATTTTTTCCTAGCAACAATCATTCTTTTATTGAAAAGAAAAAAAAATCATATTTTACGCCTCTTTACTTATAAAAAATTTATTTATGCACTTTTCCACATGCTTAGACTAATTCTCAAAAGATAACCAAATAAATCTGTGGAATAGTTCGGATTACTTCTATCGTATTTCACATTATAATCTTATAGCTACTACTTTGAAAGCAATTTTTATTTACAAATAAAAAAAAACTCGTATAACCTATATTTTTAGCATATTCTGATAATTTTGATTTTCCAAATAATCGATCTATTCTCGATATGTGTTTATCAAAACCAATTGGTTTATTAGCTTTACTTGATGAAGAATCTCGTTTTCCTCAATCAACAGAATTTACTCTCATTAATAAATGGCGTGAAAATTTAAATTCTTCAAATTTTACAACAAATACACCAACATCTTCATTATCACGTAAAACAATCAAAAATCAAAAACAAATTTCATTAGATCTTGAACCATTATTTACAATAACACATTATGCGGGTAAAATTAAATATACAGCAAAAGATTTTCTTGAAAAAAATCGTGATTATGTTCCAATTGAAATAATTGATTTACTTTTACAAAGTGATGATCATCTTGTTAATTTACTTTTTCGTAGTCGTCTTCGTAAAACTGGTAGTGTTATTTATACTGAACAAGAAAAAAAATCAACTTTATCTCGTTCAATATCTCATAAAACAACAGTTAGTCGTACACAAGGTACAGTATCAACATATTTTCGTTATTCATTAATGGAATTAGTTAGTACAATGGCATCAACACAGCCAACGTTTATACGATGTCTTGTACCAAATCGTTTACCATTTCAAACATCACATGTAACATATGATCATACAAGTTATTTTCCACAAAATTTTCATTTTGATACAAATCAATTTGATGAAAATGTTGTACTTGAACAAATAAGATATAGTGGTTTAATTGAAACAATTGAAATACGTCGACATGGTTATTCACATCGAATATTATTTGAAGATTTTATATCAATGTATTCATGTCTTATTAATTTAAATTTAACAATAATAAATAATAATGATTATAAACAAATATGTGAATTAATATTAAAAAAATTTCATATGAATAATTATGCTATTGGTAAAACAAAAGTTTTTTTAAAATTTCATCATATTGAACAATTAAATATTGAACATAAAAATTTTTTAACAAAAATTATTCATTTACAATCATATATAAGAATGTATTTAGTTAGGAAACAAAATCAAATTCTTAAAATAAATAATAATAAAACAAATTATGAAAAATCTATTGTACGTCTTCAAACGATGGTACGTAGTTTTCTAGCTCGACGTACAGAAAAAAAAGTATCATTAGCCGTTATTACTATTCAAGCTTATTGGAGAATGTGGAAAGAACGAACTCGTTACAAAGATCACCTTCTTAATTATCATAATCAACAAATTCAAATATCGTATTTTATTAAACAAATTGAATTATATAGTAATAATTTATATCAACGATTAATAGAATTAAAAAATTCAAATAAATTTACAAAAAAATTTTCTATAGATGAAGATAAAAATTCTTCTAAAAATCAATCTATATTAAATACAATGAGACAATCAAAATCACAAGATAAATTTTCTATAAATAGTAAACAAAAATCCGTTATTTTATCTGGATATTATGATACAATTTATAAAGAATATTTAACTAAAAAAAATATAAAAAATACAAAAAATACTGAAGAAAAGAAAAAAGATATAACTAATGATACAAGTATACAACGACCGTCAACAGCTCCGCCTGTAACTGATATTCCACAAGCTCCACCTTGTCCACCACCAGAGTTTTTTCAACAACCTGATTCAAAAGTTAGTATAGTCATGCGACAAAAATCAGCACCAGCTACAGTAAGAACTCCAGTTGAAGAATTAAAACAAATATTTGCTAGACAAAAGTAAGTTTTTTTTACATTTTCTTTTTTTTTTTTTATTAAATTTCTTAAAAATTTTCATAGATCAAAAGAAACAAAATCAGTATTATCTATCATACCATATCGTTCTATGTCTCCACTATCAATTACAAAAGATCATTCATCGTCATCAACATTTCTTGCTCTTAATCATTCAAATCCTATAGTAACACAAGATGATTATATACCAAGACATCGTCTTTCTTCATCATCAAATATAGTCAAAAGTAAATCAACTGGTTTAGTAACTTGTAGTACATCAAATCTTGTTGGTCATATGGCATTAACATCCGAAAATGTTCTTAAACTTAAAGAAAATTTACGTAAAACTGGTTTCGTAAAAGGAAATCAAACATTAAGACGAAAATTACCAACAGAAACAATACAAATTGATTTTCGTAGTATACTTCGTTCATCAAAGAATAATTTAAATAAAACAATTAATAAATCATAATAAATACAAAATAAAAACTGTCAATGAATTAATTATGAAAAGGACTCATTCACCTACATATATTTTGTTGGAATCATTTGTACTTTGTTTTTGTGACATTTGTGTAAATATTACGGTCTATGTATGTGTCCCCTCTAGAGAGAAATCAATCATATCGATTGTTGTCTCTTATAGTATACCATCTAATGACACGTCTTTGCTATTTCTTATCAATTTCCCAAAGTCAATATTATCAATATAGAAAAAGAAAGAAAGAAATTCTTTTCTTTATAATAGAAAATCAAAATTATCTTAGCAATTAATTTATACCAAGATAAAAAAGAAATATTTTGAAAATAATCAAGTTTATATTGTTCTCATGAACATTTTTCGTATATCAATAATGATAATAAATAATTATTTATTCTTTTTTCTTTTCAACAAAATAATTGTCACCAGATGAATAAAAATCAAAATGAATGATGATGTACAAATGAAAATAGTCTGTACATCATCCCTCTTATTGTTTTATTTTGGATAACAAAAAAAAAAAAAAAAAAAAAAAAAATTTTTTTTTGTGATAAGATTTTGATTATGATTATGTTAAATATATTCTCGCGAAAAACAGGAAACGGAAAAGAAAAGGATTAATATGAAATACCATTTTGTTTTTACCTATACTATTAATTTATGACTGATGAAAAATAACTATAATTACTCTTAAAAGCAGTTCATTATCTTCCTTTATTTATATCATCACCAGCAGAGACAATCAAATTTTTTTTTTATCTGTCAAATAAATACTACTGATATAAAATTGATGATAATTTTATATTTTCTTTTTATAAATGTTATGTTTAGTTAGTATTATATATTAAAATATGTCATTGTGATTTTCAAAAGGTCATTCACATATTTAACGGATGAGAAAAAGAAAAAGAAACGAACTTTTTTTTTTGTTAATTAAACAACGCATATAATCTATTATTGAATTGCATATGAAAGTCAATAATATTGTGTCTTTGTTAATGACTATATCATTTCTTTTCAACGACAATCATGTTTGCCTATCATCATTATCATCATCATATCTATAGCCCATCATCTAGTTGATCGTTTCCATCTTTCATGATTCAAGAAATTAGCTAATATGTTCGATGGCATCCGCACACTAGTATCTCTTATCTATTTATATGTTCTGTTCTATTTCATGGGAACGACACAGACAGCATACCAAAACTTATTCGGCGTTTTTTTTTCTCTCCTTTCCTTTGCTTATCTATTTGTCCTACGCTTTCTGTTATATCGACGTATGACATCATCCTTATATTTCTTTTCTCATGTTGTGTTCCTTGCGGGAAAACATTGCTTTCTATAGACAAACGTTCGTTTGTAACCAAAATGCATTGCGTACCACTATCATCTCTTTCTTTTCTTTTTTTTTTTTCTTCTATTTCTGTTTTTCCTTTCTTCTTATTCTCGACATTCGTGTCGTCTTTATGAAGAAAACTAACGTTCAAAAAGAGGACAACATTTTTAGTTTTGTCGACAATCAACCACAAGTAAAATAAAACAATATGGTGATTTTTATGCCATATTATCGTCAACAGGGACAACTTTTTCATTCACATACTCGTAGTCGTCCAACATCATCAACAAATGGACAACATCATACAACAACACATACTGCTATTCATATGAGTGCTTGCAAATTTGTATCAAGCATATTATGTCGTTTTACATTTTCTTTATTTTTATTTGCTATTGCACTTTTTCTATTTCAATTATCGATAAATAATGTATCAAACAAAAAAAAAGGCTCAAATATTATTGCTGCTATTTTATTAACTATTGCTGTTGTTTCATTTTTACGTACATGTCAAACATTACGACGTTATTTAACAATCATGCAAACTAGGCGTCGACTTATTCAAGTAAGAAAAAGAACATATATTCTTTTGTTTTTTGTTTTTTGTTTTTGTTTTTGTTTTTGTTTTTTTTTAATTCATTTTAATTGAAATTATTGTTAATTCAGAGATTACGTGAACGACAAGAAGCGTATGATTTGGCGTTAGCATCAAATACTGATGTTAATTCTGAGTATATATAATTTTGTTTTTATTAAAAATAAATAACTAATATATTCATATTTTTGTATCTTATTGTAGTCTTATCATGGGTGATAACACTGATTTACCATCATATAAAGAACTTTTTCCCTCTCATCCAGATATCAGTATCATTGACAATGATCCATCATCATCATTACCGCCTCCATCTTATGATGATTTTGTTAAAACACTTGGTGTTCGTCAATCAACTACATCTCTTCCAATATCATCTTTACAATCTCATACATTATCATTGCCGACAACAAATTTATCAATGTCATCAACTCAATCCCAAACAAGTCCAACACGATGTATTTGGATAACTCATCGAACACAACGACCTGCTTTTATTCGTGGTACTGTGACATATGTTTAAAAATAAACATAAAACTGTAATAAAATTAAATATATATGTAGATTTATTTCTGAAAATGAAGCCAAAAAAGGAAAAACTTATAATTTAGATTTCATCAAATGAATATTTTCTTTTCTTTTTCTTTTTCAAACCATATTTTGTGCACGTCGATCGCGATATTCACGATCGTCAATACCAGAATCAACATCTGATCGATTTTCTACACTAATTTGTTCACCACTTGTCGTTTTAAATTGACTAGCTACTAATTTCGCATCTGGCACAATATGTCCTTTAAGATCACTTATATCCCAAACTTTTAATGTACCATCAACAGAACCACTAAATAATCTTTCATCAACAATCTAAACAATAAATAATTCATAAACAAAAATATGTATAATCAATAGAGATCTTCAGATTGATTCCGGTAGGATCTAACGGACTCTAATAATCAATTACAAAAGAAAAAAAAAGATTTACCTGTAAACAATTAACAGCAAGTGTATGTGATTTAAACATACGTTTTAAAACACCAGAACGTGCATCAAAACATCGTACTATTGCATCACCACAACCAGTAAAAACTATTCACAAAAAAGAAAAAAGAAAACAAGAAAAAGTTTTACATGAAAAATTAAATATTAATATAACATACGAAAACCATTATAAACTTGAATACACGAAACAGTATGTCTATGTCCTTTATAAATTCTTGTACAATCACCAACATCAACAACCCAACAACGTGCTGTATGATCAGCACTTATAGAAAAAAGTAATTTATTTATGCACTAAAATAAGAAGAAAATTAAATAAATCTATTTCTAATCTCATTTTATATTCTTCTTACAAGAAGATTTATAATTGCTGCTTGATGTTGATCATAAATATGTAATTCTGTTCCACGATAAATATCCCATGCACGAATTGTATTATCACCTGATCCTGTAAATAAAATTTTACCAAGTTGATCAGTTGCTAAACAAAGTATTGCTCCCGTATGACCACGAAATGTTTTTAAACATTCACCACTTTCAAATGACCATGTTTTAGCTGTTGTATCTTGTGAACCAGTTATAATTAAATCTTTTGTATAGATATCCATATCTTCTTCAAAATCGTCATCACCATCACCATTATGTTCAGCTGGAATAAATAATATTGGTAATATTCCATGTTTATGACCACGAAATACACGTACACATGCACCAGTATCAAAATCCCAACATCGAGCTGTACGATCATATGATGTTGAAAAGAGAAAATCTCCTATAATAATAATTCGAATAGAATTCTTGCTTTTTGTTTTTCTTTATTTAAGAACTTGAGAAAATTAAAATTTATTATTATTTTTTCTCCAAGAAGATGAAATAGGGTGAAGTAACAGAAAAAAAAAATTTTCATATGTTGAATGAACTTTAGTGCTGATTAAAATGAAGAAAAAAAAAAACAAAAGAAAACTTCTTTCTTTTTTTTTTGCTACGCAAAAAAAATATCTAATTAGACCTTGAAATGAAAGTGTAAATACGTACTGAGAAAAGCGCTCATTTTTTTTTTAATGCTTCAACTTTTTTCAAAGTATAAAGTTCTTGAATTTTATTTTTCTTTTGTTTTTAATTCATCTTCATTTTATTATTGTTTTAATTTAATCTTTAAAAATATGATTTAACTTACCCGTACAAACAATTCGATTTATAAGTGATGTATGACCTGAATAGATAAATACACATTCACCATTTGTCATATCCCATTTTCTCATTGTACGATCAGCACTAGCACTAACTAAAAAATTTTCATCAATAAGAATACATGTAATATAATCAACATGACCAATTAATACACTAAGACATTCAACTGGTGTTGTTTTAGCGCTCCATAAACGAATATTATGATCATCAGAACCTGTAGCAAGAACACTACCATCATTACTTAATATCATATAATTGATAGCACTTTCATGTTCATCTAATGTTTGTACAAGCCAATCACGAACACCTCGAGTTCGACTTTTTGATGCTGCACTACCCATAATAAAAGAAAATAGATTTGACCAGTAAAGTAACTAAAACTATATATAATAAGAAAAGATGATGTTATCAAAAAAATAAAAGAAGAATAAATGTTCAGCTTCTCTGTTTTTTAGTAAAAATATTTAATTTTCTCGCCTAAGTGTTGTTGCATTTAACACTCGGCAACAATAGGAAAAAAAAAGAAAGAAATGAAATTTCCTACGAGTGAAACTTGAAAAAAAAAAGAAAAAAGCAATCAAGAAAGTGGGTAGTTTTAAAAGAAAAAATTTTTTTTAAAAATTAGTCTATTTAATGTCTAAGCAAACGTCATCATCTACTATGTTCTTTTTCTTTATGACAATGTCTAGAACGTTCTTGATAATATTCAAACAGTCATGAATTAAGCAAAGAGATCTTTCTTTATCTTAAACATTAAAATCCGATTTTTTCTTCTATAGAATATAACTTGACTTCAATTTTTTGTCTGCGATATATAAAACATGCCATAAATAGATGTTAACGAAGCACGTAAATACATATCACATGTATAATATTCTCTCTAATTTTTATATATCAACACAAAAAAAATATATATATTTGGTTCTTTGAGAAAATTAGAACATAGAAAATATCATGTTACAAGTTACAGTCAAATTTTTATTTTGAAGAAAGAAAAACTATGACTATGTTTTTTACAACTTACTAATGAGTTTTTCTTGTCTCGTTATCATACATTAAAAGTCATAAAGTTCTCTTAGATGGAACTATCGAATATCCAATTTTTTGCATTTATTCATTATGTGATAGCTTCATTAGAATAGATATTTTATAGGCATAGAACAACTTTGAATTAGACTTTAGTGATTTTGTACATATAGATTTACAATTGTACAAGAGAAGCCATCATCAATTTTTATTTGTTTCTTTGATTTTGTATCATTTCAAATTTAAATCTTTCTTTTGTTTTATTTTAAATAATCTTCTCCTACAAAGAATTAATGATAGGTTTTATATACAGGGTGTCACATAACCTTTGCTTCTTTCCTCTACGACTTAAAGGACAGATAATATCACAAAGTATTTATACCAGATTAAAACGTGTCAAAAAGTGGATTTATTGGTACTAAATAGTAAAGATTATAAAGACCTTTTAATGTCGAACTTAAGACATTTTCAGAAATTTTATACTTTTTTGGTGTAGAAAAGTAAAGTTCCAGTAATTCAAAAATAGAGTAAAACATTTTTTTGGTTGGATATTTTCATATGGTTCAATAGAGCTCGTCGAGCTCTACAAAACTATATTTCAAAAAAATGTTGAGTCATCTTTTTAAGATAAAAAATTCAAAAACCTATTTGGAAAACCTCAAAAAAACTATTAAAAAATTCATTTTTTTCATATGGAAGAAAAAACACTCGATTTCTCAATGAAATTAGCTTTTTTCATTACTTACGCCACCTTAGACGTTTCGAAATACGCTTTCGATGCTGCGTGAAAAACTGCATGAAATGAGCACATTTCGAAACGTCTAAGGTGGTATAAGTAATGAAAAAAGCTAATTTCATTGAAAAATCGAGTGTTTTTCTTCCATATGAAAAGAATGAATTTTTTAATAGTTTTTGAGGTTTTTCAAATAGGTTTTTGAATTTTTTATCTCAAAAAGATGACTCAAAATTTTTTTGACATATATAGTTTTGTAGAGCTCGACGAGCTCTATTGAACCATATGAAAATATCCAACCAAAAAAATGTTTTACTCTATTTTTGAATTACTGGAACTTTACTTTTCTACACCAAAAAAGTATAAAATTTCTGAAAATGTCTTAAGTTCGACATTAAAAAGTCTTTATAATCTTTACTATTTAGTACAAATAAATTCAGTTTTTGACATACTTTAATCTGGTATAAATACTTTGTGATATTATCTGTCCTTTAAGTCGTAGAAGGGGAATGCAACGGTTATGTGACACCCTGTAGTGACATGTTCATTTATCATCTTCGTCACCATTTTTCACTGTTATAAAATCTATGAACATGAGTGACAGTTTAGTAGAATAATGCCATCTTCTCTTCGTTGATATAGTTTTTTAGCATATCTAGCCGGCATCATTACCTTTTTTTTCTTCCTATTTCTAACGCTCTCATTGCGCACTGATTTTCTCTGGTTCCACACATTTATTATTTTTTTTCTTGAACAACCCAGCACTTATAATGACGGAAGAGAAGAAAAAAGTTGTAATAATTTTGACAGTCTGTTTGAAAAGCTGCATAATGATTTATGTGAAAGAGACAGAAGAAAGGAAAGGAAAACGTTCAAGATATACATGTACATCATCAAATATACGAGCATGTAATATTATTTGATTTTTTTTTATCATGAATATTCTATGAACACCTGAGCACAGATCTTGATATAATCCGGTAGTTGGAGAAAGAAATCAAAAGTATTCTTGTGATCCACTAACTTTTGATGAACGATTCAGTTCTAATTCTAGAGTATATATATATAGTTTACATAAAAGAAAAAAAACGTGTATTTTGTTTCATATATTGACTTGTTTTTCTTTCGATAAATATTAAAATTCTGTTTAATTCAAAAAAATGTAAAAACATCCTTTCATATAAATAGTGAGAGAAACACTTCTCATGTTTTGCATTCAGTACCAATGTCAACAGTGTATATAGTGTATTTAAGAAGAGAAGAATGTCAAATCTATACGGTAGAATGAATTATATGATTTATAAGCATTTATCGCCTAATTTCATCATGTTTTTTTTCTTTTCTTTTTCTTTCGATATTGTATTATTTTCGTAGTAAGGAAGCAGCATTGGTCTATGCAAAAACATGTCAATATATTATATTCAAATGAAAATATAGTATGTGTAGTATTTATCTACTTTTATTACACAATTCATATTGATCATTTTTTTCACAGTTAATTATGAAATCATGTCATTAACTCTTTACTTCACTATTGATAGTTTAAATTAAAAAAAAACCCCAGTACTTCACACTTTATAACAGTTAATTTAAATCGAGTTTATAGAATTTTCTTTATTGTGATGATGCAATTATGAATTTCTACTAGAAATATTAGTCAGAAATAATAAAGATTATTTTGAATATGACAAATTGTCTATCAGAAAAAAAACCTAGACAAATATTTACTGAACTTTACTGTCTATTATCAGTATGATGCATTCAAATATTATTAATGCTAAAACATATTTATGTTATTATATTATAGTAGGTTGAAGAAAAAGAAATGAGAGCATGATTCTTTTTCTCAATGACATAGGTGAGGACTATTAAATATTTAATCCACACAAAACACTTAAGAAAAAAAGTGCTTTCTGATAAATAAAAATGATTAATTTGCTTAGTTCTTTATTTTTTGTTTGGATTTATGTCATGTACAACATATATTCATGCATGGTAAAATTTTTTTTAAGCGTTAACAGTTTTCTATGGAATCGTTATTTCTTCCTCAAATAAACAAAACTCATTAATTATTATTATTCTCGTAAAATGTGTACTTTATATGGCCATATTTCTTTGCCATCTATTCGCTCTTCCTGTTATGGTATAATTTTTTTTGTTAGTAATAGTTGTGTAACTAGAAAAAAAAATTCTAGACGGTCTCAGCACCTTATAAGCCCCTTTTTTGCCAGTGATGCATTTCAGCGCTTGTATCGTTCTCAAATGTTCTATGGGAAGTCGAACATGCTTAGAGGAAATTAAGCTTTCTTCGGTTACAACATTAGTTACTCAGTGTACTGTCAAAACTCGTTTAATAACATCGATCAAAAAAAAAAGAGAAAGTTTTTAGTAGAATGAATCTTTCTTTTTTCTCTTTATTCTAAACGTGAGAGAAAAAAAAGAGATGCAATTTTGCCTGTGAGTAATATAAAAGTCGACATGTACTAGTCAACAAATCGTGATTTAGTATGTTGTTCTTTTCTTTTTAGTATTCATTTCCTTTTATTTATGAGAGGATATATTTGTTAAAAAACAAGAATTGTCTTTTTTTTCTTTTTACTTCTATTTTTCCAGATTACATACGTAGATATTGAAAAATATTATTATAAAACAAGATGGGTCACGGTGGAATGAGTTGTGGAATGAAGACAATGCGTTTTATAATTGTAGTTTTCAATTTGATCTTTTTTGTAAGTTAATTTAATTCTTTTTTTTTTGGTTCAGAAATAACATTTATTTGAATTTGATTATTAGTTAATTGGTCTCGCATTATTAGCACTTGGAATTTATGTTGTGGTTGATCCATCACTTAAAAAAATAAAAGAAATTCTACCAATTAATTCTAGTAGATTTTGAAATAAAGAAAAGAAAACAAAATACATGATTTTATGTTGTTGTTTAGATCCTGGAGTTGAAAAAGGTTTATCATATCTTGAAGTTATAGCAATTGTTATTATTGTTCTTGGTTCTATTCTTTTAATTATGGGATTTCTTGGCTGTTGTGGTGCTATGAAACAAGTGAAAATATTTTTAATAATTGTAAGTTAAAATTTTTTGTTTTTTTTTCCTTATATCTTATGAATTTTTCAAATTTTAGTATGCTATTATTGTTGGAATCATAATACTTTTTGAAATAGCTATAACAATTTATTTTGTTGCTTTTAAATCAAAATTTCGAGAAACTTTTACACCGAAATTAAAAGAAGCTATTCGAAATACATATGAAGGTCCATTTGGATTACAAAGTAATAGTGCTCTACCAAAACCATCAGCAATATCAATTGCTTGGGATTTTATTATGTATAATGTAAGTAGTTTGAAAGAAATAAATTTAAAGTAAATATTATATTCCTTTCTTTTTTTGGTTTTTTTTAGTTTAAATGTTGTGGTGTTGATAGTAAATTTGATTTTATTAACACAACAAAATGGAACAAAACAAATCCATGGGCTTCAACTATGGGAAATGGTTATAAAAACTTTACGTATCCAATAACATGTTGTAATATTAGTAATGTTTTTACAGAAGATTGGAATAATTTACCTTTTGACAAATTACAATCTGTTGCTTATTGTGCTGTCAATGGAACTCATATAAATGAAATGGTCAGTTTATTTGATTGTATAATGCTAGATAAAAGTTTATATATATATATATTTTTAAGGGATGTTTTGATAAATTTTTGAATTTAATTGATACTGCTAAGACATGGATTATTGTAGGTGCTGTTATTATTCTTGTCATTGAAGTAAGTATTAGTTTTGATAGAAGTATTTTCTTTTTGCTTTTTTTTTCTTAATATTTATTTGTTTTAGTTAACTGCATTCATTGTTGCTTTGGCTTTATGTTGTCGTACGAAAAAAGGTTCTAAGTACCGTCAATAATAACAATAGTCTTATTCAAAAATAACAATATATATGATCTATTGAATTATTTATTCAGACATTTATTTTTTGTTGTCGTTTTCTTGATTGAAAATATTTTTTAGCTTGTATGAAAGATATTCAGATATATTTTCATGGAATATGTTCATCTATTCAAAAAAACAAAATATCATTCATGAATGTTGTTGCCTCTTTTTTTTCCTGTCTTATTATTTCGAATAATTTCTTGTTTATTACAATGTGTTCAAGAAAATATTCTCAATATTTCATACCTATTATCTCAATTAAATGATTATCGTTTTTTTTTGCATATATTAAGCATCTATTTATATCATTTCTCTTCTAATTTTCTTTTATTTCGTACGACATTATTTTAAGAAAAAAAAAAAAAACTTCAATAGATCTACTTTTTTCATTTTATTTTTTGATTTGTTAATTTCTTAATATGATTTTGGAAGTAAGCAAATAAAAGAATGAAATGTGATACTGGCGGCAAATCAAAAATAGTGTTTCTACGAAAAAAAAGTCTAAGTTTTACAATCAAGATATGATGAAAAGTATTTTTATCTTTATCTATATGGCTATTTGCATAACTTCTATTGTTGCAGGTAAATCAATTTTGATTGTTCGATAATAGAAGAGAATTGATAAGTTTTTTTCTTTTCTTTGAAAACTTATACATCGCAAATATAACGTTCCGTTTACTGTGATAATAAAAACTGAATTCTATGAAATAGACTAGATAGTATATTTTATTTATTGACTTTTATCATGGATTGTGTATTGTTCCGGAAATTCAGTTTATGTTACATTGTACACATAATAGATTTACTAGTGTTGCTTTTTTACTATAGAAAAAAAATTCTTATTTGACCTTTATTTAAAACTACATGATCAAAGTTCAGAAACGTTCATGGATTAATTTATTCGAAAGAAGCTAGTTTAAATAAATAAAAATATACAATATTTCATAGACATATTTTACAAAATAAATTTAATCGTTTCTCTTTTATGGTTAATCCTTCGTTGAGTTTCTTGTTGATTTTATTTCATACATAGTTCGATGTTTAGTTGCCATTTCTTTATATAATTCATTATTTTTTGCTTCAAACCATTTTTCTTTAAAAATATTTGCTGATTGAGCTTTTTCATTATTCTTATGATCTTCTTCTTGTGGTAATATATCATAAGTTTTTTTATCATATTTTATTCCACTAGCATGATTAGCATAACGTCTTGATCGAGTAAAACCCATTTGTAAATATTTTCGTGCCATATCAGCTCCGACAAAATCATTTTGTTGAAGATAATTTAAAAAAAGTTCATAAATTTTATTTGATGATTGAATAGCTTGTTCAACAGTTTTAAAACGCCAATATGGACATATTTCATTTTTATATGGTTGACAAATTAAAACACCTTGTTCACCACGACCTATTCGATAGAGTTCAGGATGTTTACGATAATCAATATTTGCTTTCCAATCATATGATTTATGATTAAAATTAAGATACGATGGTAATCGTTGTTTAACTTTATTTGATGTTGATGAAATAGTTCGTTTTCGTGGCATTGAAATGAAAGACAAAAAACAAAATCTAATTCTCATCAATCAAACATCTAGAATAGAAATATATTTTGTTTTGTTTTTTTTTCTCTTCATATAGAACTTATTAATTGGAAACTAAAATCAAAACAATTCATACAAATAGGTTCAAAATTCGAACAAAATTGTGAGACAAATAGACCATTAACAAATGATGAATATATTTCATGGATATTATATAATCATAATGGTCAAATGAATGTAATTAATAAAGCTAATTTAATTATAGATTCTTTTGTAATAAATAATGAAGGAATTGCTATTTGTCAAATAAAAGATAAAAATGGAATAATTATTGATGAAAAACATTTTTTTATAACTAATGATCGTAAGTTCTAAACATATTGAATAAAAAAGATTTTATGAAAAATGTTTTTTTTTTTTTGTTTTAGCTACCGAACTAATTGATTATCGTTTTGAAGGTTATGATCAAACACTTATTGATATTGATATTAATCATACAGACAGATATTGTGGTCCAGATGAAAATATAGATTATATAAAAGAAGATATAGTTGATTTTCATATTGATTTTGTTCAACATTATGAACGTATACGACAACATTCAAATCATATAGAATTTCAAAATGTTAAACATGAAAATGAAGGTTATTATGAATGTATAGTTCGATTACATAATGGGCTTGTTGGTGTTCGAGTATATTTTCTTAGTGGTAAAATATTTCGATTTCCAAAAACGCGAAAAAAAAAAAATCTAGATTTTCAATAAAAATTTTTTTTTTATTAGTTGGTGGTGGTCCACGTCAAATATCTAATCGAGAAAAACATATCTATTCTGAAATAAATGATACAATAACATTACTATGCCCTATATTTTCAGCATTATCAGCTTGGTTTACATTTCTTATACCAAATAATTCTGCACAAGATATTTCATCACTAACTGGTTATGATTATTTACGAATTAAACATGTTTCTAATATACATTCAGGAATCTATACTTGTCGTGTAACAACTAATGATGATAATGAAGGTTATTCATTAACATCTAATTTATATCTTGATGTTTATAGTAAGATCTTTAATATCTATTTAATGATAATATTTATCATATAAAATATTATTTCTTAGGTTCACCTGATTATGTAGAACCTTATAAAAATGAATATGTATATTTATTAATTAAAAAAGATATTGAAAATTTTATACATTGTTCATTAAATGGAAATCCAATGCCTACTTATCAATGGTTATTAGGAGATGTTAAAGAATTGATGAATGAAGAAATAGTTTCTGATAAATTTGAATATATAATAACACCGAATGATAATAATTCATATGAATCAAATCGAACAGTAACATGTATAGCAAAAAATAATCGAGGTATTAAACGACAAGTTTTTATTCTTCAATTTATTAATTAAAATATATCAAACGAATAAACAAAAATATTTTATTTCAAAAACGGATGATTAATTCGTTTCTATGTTATTGGCTTTCTTTTCTAGATCCAAAAGAATAAGAATGCATTAGAGGGCGTACATCATCATTCTTTTTTACTCTGAGACTTTATATTTGAAGATGAATTGATTTCAGCATCTTGAAAATAGTTTAGTGTATTTTCTTATCATATTGTTTCAATGAAATAATATGATTAATAATTTTCAGATTTTATCGATATGTCGATTGTAATGATTATTTCAGATTGACAAAAAAAAGGTGGGATAGGAAAATAAACTATAATGATTTTTTGTTCTTAAAACTGGTTATAGAAAAATATTGATTTATATTCATGTAAATATGATTCATTTTGATATATTGTTAAAAAGTAAAATCATACACAGGTGTCTTATCTATTGATAATAAAACGGCTGTTATTATTATTTTGTCATTGAATTCTCTGATATAAATAATATTTACTTATTCACTATTGTTTTCTTTATCAGTGCAATACTTATAATATATTTTTGTACCTATTAAACTTTGTTGATAAGCAACATATTTTTTCTTTCATTTATTTATATCGTATGGTAATATAGTATTTATATTGATATTTCTTCTTTTCTTTTCTTTTCTTGCACATGATCAAATGTTCTATTAGAATTCTGAATATTTTTAGCGAATCTTCAAGATAATAACGAAAGAGCTCATTTACAATTATTAAATAAATTATCATAGTTTATACTTATTCTAAAAGACTTCAAGATTCTTCTTTCATGATTTGTTTTTGTATGTTATATGAAGCAGTGACATCAGCTTTGCCAATTCATACATTAAATGATTATACTTAATGATGTGATGATTTTGATAATAAAGATTCTTGCACTGTAGTTGTCAAATCAGCCTACGTTTTAGGCTAATAATGGAAAGACCGCTATCTATTTCTAAAGAAATATTTTGTTCGATGCTGAGAAAATTGACAATGATGAACTAATGCAAATTTTGTTTGCTTCAAAGATCACAGTGAGAATAGTAAAATAAAGGTGATTATCTTCTCGATACATCAAGTCAGATAACTGCTGTGCCTACATGTCAACCATGAATGAATGAAAGAATAATGCGTCATTATCTTTTCAAGTTTATTGAAACATGTTGACAAAAAACTTCTTAAAAATCATCGTCAGTAAGTCTCCTTGACTTCTGATTAACTTTTAACATCTAATTCATTTTGAATTTTGTTTTTTTGAAAAATACAACATCTACTAACAAATTATATAAAGAAAAAAATAATAAAATACTTTTTGGTTTAAACTTGACACTTTCATTTTTTTGTTCAATACATGAATTGAATTCTAAGTTAGTTCATAGAATAATTTAATGAAAATGATATAAGCTTAACTATAGTAAAACGCTTTTATCTTTCTGAATATAGAATATAAATGTCCTCAATAAACTTTTTATTTTCACATATTTTGCTAATCTGTAAAGATTACTTACATATTTTCGATGGCAATTTAAGGTTCATATTATGGTAATCGCAAGCAAAAAGTCTTTAATACATTTTTTTTTTGTTGCAAATAAATATATTGTCAAATAAGATAACACAGATAAAATATGCATAATAAATTAATTTCTTGTCAATAGGAAAGTTTATCTTTCTACTAGAAAAAAAATATGCAAGTATAATGAATCAATCATTACGAGCTAGTAAATCGAATATATTAAATTTGGTGAAAAGATAATGTTTTATTATAATAAAAGTTCTTTTTTTTTTTGTGTTTTTAATAAAAATAAATAAATATGATGGAAAGTGTTATCATTAGCTCGTTCTTTGTCACTTCTTTATCTATGAAACATATTTGGTTGGTTATGAATTTTTTTTTCCTTAGTACATCGAAAGTTTGTGTAAAGACAAGCAAAACAAAATTTCTGTAAGTAAATTGAATTTACATTTATTTACAATAAATCAAGATTTTCTTCAAACAAAAACAACGTCATTTCTTCGGAAAAAAATAACTTTCATCGTAAAATTTATTTCAACAAAATCATTACTGATAATCTTTATTATATTTATTAAATATAGATATCAAAAACATGATTAAAAATTCTATTGAATATAATAATTATATATCAAGTAGAAATGACGTATCATCATTTTAATTTGCAACTTGCTACATTTTACAATCATGACTAATTCTTGTTTTTTAATCTTTGAATTTGAGCTTCTTATAGATTTAACACATGATTTAACATTAACATAATATGAAGGGTTTAATAATCCTTATATTATTTTTTCTTATGCATGCATAATATTCATCACTTATCTCGAGAAAAAGAATCTGCTATGTGAAAGAAAAAAAATCTTTAAGTAAAATGAATACGTGCTTGTCGTTTTTATTTATGACGGGTGTACCATAAATAATGGTATCATTTGTATTTTTCTTTACGTTTTGTCCACGTTTATAAGTAGAAAATTACAATTAGTCACAAACAATCTGCTGTTCAATGCTCCATAAAATCACACGAGAACATTAGATCCTAATCTTCGAAGTCGTCGAGAACATTGAAGAATACTGAGTTTGTCTTATATGTAGACGATTCTTTAGAAGACGTTTTCCAAACAACTTTCAATACTTTGTTTTATTTTGTTTTAGGCAGGTGAAACATAATATAGAAACTTTATAGTGACAATAGGCATAGTTCTTTGTCATGATGTGCACTAGTGAACATACTTCCAAAGAACATTATGTCACAGAAGCCAGCTTGTTCACATTGAGTGACAAATAGAATATTTAGTGGAAATATCCGTTTTTACTGAGTGCAAACTAATTGAAACTTTGCATCGGAATATTCCATTCTGGTCGTCTTTCATTAGTTTTTTCCCAATCCTTAAGAATATTGATTTTCAGTGATAGTTATCGTAAACTTTCATAAGAACCGCCGATCTTTCTCTAAGGTTTTCAGGTGCATCCATTGTTTGACAAAAACTCAAATACAAGTTATTGTATACTAGCAATAGGTACATATTGAAGTAGCTGAAGTCCTATTCAACTCTTACAGAGACTTTTAAGGTTAGATTTAATGCTTCCATGAGATTTAAAATAAATAAAAAGAATGGATGGTAGCATTATTTATAGTGCACTTGCTATTTCCAACAAATAATGCATCATTCAAGGTTGTTTTATTTAAAATAATGACAAAGAAATCTCCAAAAAAGAAAAAAGAAAACTTTAGAAATTAATTGTAGATTATTAGGATGGGTCATGGTGGTATGAGTTATCAATTGAAAACTGTTCGTTTAATAATGATATTAGTTAATGTAATATTTTTTGTAAGTTCAATAATTCTATTGTTATGATTTTAATTTTAATAGAATTATTTATCTAGTTGATCGGTGCAATATTATTAGGTGAAGGTATTGATCTTCTAGTTAGTGGACGTTTTCAGAATTTTACAGAATTTATGTCAAATGTTCAAAGTTTGTTATTAACTAATTTAAGTACACAACTAAATTGTATTCATACAATATTATTTATAGGTTCAAATAATACACAGAAGAATGTTTTATCTGATGAAATTTTGTATATAATTATGATCATTCCCGGTTTTATACTTCTATCAATTGGATTTTTTGGTTGTTCTGGTGCATTAACTCAAATGCAATGTATTTTATTTACTGTAAGTGTACGGTGACAGACAAAAGTTTAGATCAGTTGTATGTTTGAGTTTTCTTCTTGATGATAACGCATAGCAAGCACCTGAAAATAATCTCTGTGTAGCTGGAAGAATTTTCTATTAAGATTGACAGGTCTGAAGACTTCAATAAAACTCTTTGGATGCGAATCTATGGAAAATCAACTTTCTGACTTCTATTCGAAGCTTTTGGGAAGGAATTTTATAGGATAGGGCAAAATTAAACGTATTCGACCTCTTCATGACCTTCCTTCGTCGAATTACATTCAATCTATAGAAGGTCAAAAGAAGAGAAAAATACTTCTTTTGATCTTCTATAAATTGAATGTAGTTCAACGAAGGAAGGTCATGAAGAGGTCGAAGACGTTTAATTTTGCTCTATCAAATAAAATATTTTCCCAAAAGCTTCGAATGGAAATCAGAAAGTGGCTTTTAGGGGCCTTGGTTTTTCGCAGAATCTTATCCAAGCAGTTTTGTTGAAGTCTTCGAGGCTACCAATCCTGATAAGAAAACTCAAAAATACAACTGCTCTAAATCTTTGTCCGCTATTACAAAATCATATTGTCTTTTGATTCGACGTAATTTTCTTTTTGTTTTTATTTTTTTTTAGTATTCTTTTACTATTGGAATAAATTTAATATTTCAAATGATAATAATTATTATTTTAATTATTTTTCCATCTAAACTTAAAGAAAATTTTATATTTATAATCCGTGTATTAATTCGTGATCAATACAAAGGACCACTTGAGAAAAATCTTCAATTAACATCATATCTATGGGATTTAATTATGTATCAGGTACAGTCATTTTTGTTTTTTAAATTTTTAATGAATATCTTATTAAGTTTGTTTTGTTTTATAGTTAAAATGTTGTGGTATAGAAAGTAAAAATGATTTTGATATAACAAATAATTGGGATCGAACAAATCCATGGTGGACTAATTCAATGGCAATTGAGAATAAAAATTTTAAATATCCATTAACATGTTGTCCAATAAATAATATTTCGAATAAAAATTGGCACTTATCTCAGAAAGTTATTTCATGTGCTCTTCAGGGAAATGATATTTATGAAATTGTAAGTTTAAATTTTGATAAAATTTGAAGATGAGTTTCTTTTTTTTTTTTATTCTTTGAATTTGTAGGGTTGTTATAAAAAACTTATTGATATATTTTATTCAAGTCAAGTTACAATTTTTATTGTTATTTCATTTATTATTATAATCGAAGTAAAATCAAGTTGATCAAGAATAAATATTTTCAATATTTTGTTTTTATTTAGATGACTGCTTTAATTTTTGTATTAGTTATCTATAATCGAAATCAAATGGATAGAATTCATCATATCATGGAAGAATTACCACCACCATATCCTACGAGAACGAGAATGAACAATGCAAATTTATATTTTCAAATTTAAATTTGAGAGATATGTTTATCAAAAATGTATATTATTTGATGAATAAGAATAAGAATTCTCAAGATAGTGTATAATATTTTCTCATGATACGAAAGGATTCATTATCGATACCTTTTAAATTGTCATTTATCGTTCATAACGAATCAAGGACGAGGAATGAATGATTGCTCCATAAATTGTTCCTTTTTGAAACTCACATCAATAATAACTTCTTTCATGTCATTCATGCTTCTCTTTTCAACGACAAAGTAGATTTCTTCTGCAAGAATAATGATGTAGTTCGTGTGACCACAAATATACTTCACTGTAAAAGATTCGATTTTTTTTCAAGATAGATAGAAGTCAATGAGAACTACAACATGCTAGAAAAAAAACCTACATGAAAGTATGCTGCTTTTGAAGTGTTTCGAAAGTGCGAGTAGAAAAGGATAGACAAATACTACCCATGAAAAAAAAAGATAAAAAAGACGGATAAGAATGCGTTATTGTTTGTAAGAAAAAAAGTTGATCTTCAAGTCTATCGAGTAAGTTTCTCATCGATTTGTTTTGATTTATTTTCGAATTGATATTAGACTCTTGTATTTTCATTTATATTAGAACTCAAATTAAACAACACATGAATAATTAATGAACAGTTTTTGACTATCAATTGTATGACAATTCAATCTGTATTGGATTTATACGAAAAATTTTCAATAAAGTCGATATACTGACTTCATAATGCTTTATTATATTTTTTTTAAGATGATTAAATAAAAATTGTAGTGACACAAAATGAAGTTGAAGAAAAATTAGATCTTGTACAACAGATACAGATAGTTATTTTTCTCCTTTTTCATTTAAAAATACATAGAAACGAACGAATAAGAACGCATTTTCGGAAGAATGTAACGTATTTTATCAACTGAGAATGCATTCTTAAAATATTGAAGCGTTGAACGCTTACGTGCACTCCACACCTATACTATACGTATTTTTATGTGTCAATGATAATAAAATTGCTATTATTCAATTACTAAATTTAACTCAAGATAGCTGATTCGATTGTTCTGTCTAAGCTTTATTTTTATATTTTTAATAATAAATATTTACAGGAACGAATTACTCTTGAACAAACTCAAGTGCGATTCTTCGGAAAGCATTGGTGTCGATATGAAACTTGTTCACTAGTAACTTGTTCATTATGACACAAAACATGTTGTTTAATGGAAAGTACGCGTTTTGAACGTTTCAATCTTTTTTAGAATGCGTTCTTACTCGTTCATTGATATGAATTTTTTTAATTAGTATCCTTTCTTGTTATGCAAGGTTGTGATTTGAACGAATTTCATAAAATACGATGCTATCTGATTGAGGCTCAGTAAGCTAGGCGATAATGTTTCGAACCAGATGGTCAAAAGAGTATATTTTAATTTAATGAATATAGAAAGTTGTTTTCTTCATCTTTGGATGAAGTGAGTTCTACATCAAAAATATCTTCGGAGTAGTAAATAGTTGTAATCGTACTTACGAATGGTTGTCGATTAGTCTGTATTGGATACCGCTCATAGCCGAGAAAATAAAATATTATAATGACATGTGAGCAACAACTGATTACTTGAAGAATACATTCTTTGGTTGAAAAGTCAACATCTGGATCTATGAGCTCGGTGGTGTGGCTATGCTCTTTGGCATAACTTCGCACTCTCACTTTAGTTGATAGACATCTAACAAGAAATACGCCATTAATCAGTTTCTCATGCAGAAAAACGAGTATCTAGAGTGAAAGAATTGACGTAATTGAGAGACAGAACATCAAATAATCGGCACAAATTGTCGATATTGGTAATTTGTCAAACAGCGGCTAGGTCACATCAAATTATTTCAATACGTTGCCTTATGTCAAGAGACGAGTGATACGCTATATTATATCCTCATCAAATGGTGTTGCATTCACCATGGGCACGTGAAAACCAGTTGTAGAGTATTGCTACAGTGGCAATCAAGAATTTCGAGAGGTTTTTGTTACACGATCTGAATTTTTTGAGCCGTGGGTGAACACTTTCAAGCATACAGCAGACCTTGATAACAAATTGGGATTTATTGGCTTCATCAACATCGAGTTCTCGCTGGTTTCTATCGAGAAACGAAAGCATCACAGCGTTGAGAGAATCTCGGAATCCTTCGTTCAGCATGATGGTGTCACTCTCGTCGGTGAAAATGAAGATATGCTCGTAGTTATTGAGCATGATATGTTTAAAAATAGAATCCTTATTTTGATAGTAGTCGTAGAAGAACATTCGGAAAACGATGACAATGTAGCCCGTTATTATTATCATGACCATGGACTTGATTAATGATCGCTTCTTATGTTGATTGAATATTCTTGCGCTGAGTATATCTCACCAATGCTTATCAAGATACGTTTCATTGAGTACAAATATACATGGATGTCGGCCCTCAGTCAGTAAGTGACTAACAATCAGTGAGATATGTTTGTCAATGACATCCTACCACGTCAAAAAATTCAAATGCAAATAATACAAAACGAAACCATAGTCGAATAACTTAAGCCCTACTTTACTTTCATCAAAAGACACGGTAAAGCAAATCTAGCTGATCTCATCATTGGATTCTTCAATGTAGTTGGAGTTATGTACGACAAAATATGAGTATGCTGAGCTGGAGATATCGATGTGAAGTCAAATAAACATCTCGTTACGATTCTCTTTAGAAATAGTCCTTGTTGAAGGAATCATTCGTGCTCTATAACTACAACATTGACTACAAAAGAGAGCAAGTGTCAATATATTGTATCATGCACACTTACCTGTTCGAAGTGATTGCAACTTTAATTGAAATATCGGTATTCTTTTTATCAGCTTTATTATCCGCGATCATCACATTTTCCTGAAAAGTAAAAGCGATAAATCATAAGAAAAATTGAATTGAAGTCGCGGCTTTATTGTTCCTACTTGGCTTCTTTTTTGATCTGTTTACCAACCACCATTGGCTTTGCATTCACTTGCTGATCATTGTTGTTTTCATCATCTATAAACTCAACGGCGTTTGAAGGTTCGCAACTGATACTATCAACAATTATATTTATCGTTCGATGACAATCGTCAATGATCGTATCTACCTATCTCTTGGCATTCGGACATTCGAAACTTTTCAAAAGCAGCATACTCTTATGTATGTTTTTTCCTACCATTTTGTAGCTCTCGATGAGCTTCCTCTCTATCTTGGAAAAACGATCCATTTTCAATGAAGTACAGTTGTGATCACACGAACCATATTATTGTTTCTGCAGAAGAAATCTACCGGTGGAGGATGAATGTATTCATTGACTGATTACGCGATGAGAAATTAGTGAAAATAATTCTGTGACTTGAGTGTAGTTTACTGTTGAAAAGAGAAGCATAAAAGAAGTTTATTCTCAAAGTACTTTTCAAGAAGGATCAATTTATGGACCAATTATTCATGGTCCTTGAATGTAAAAAAGAGCAGCAAAATCAATACATCAAGATACAATTGGAGAAGGTTTGGATAATCCGTAAAAGTAGTTTGTCATATCCGTAACAATATGTCTTCATCTTTATCGAAATATATATGCACTTGTATGGTTTCATTATCAATGGCTTTATGATAATAAATTGACTGATGAAAAAAATGATTGTTTCATGTAATCGATTTTATGTATTTGAAATGCGAAGAAACCCTTCCACATTCTTAATAATTTTTTTTTCTCAAGTTTTCAAGTGTATCAGTTGAAAAAAAAGAGGAAAAAAAGATGAAGAAAATTTGTTTACTTCAACGTTGGACCTCCATATCGAAATCGATGGTACAAAGAAAATAGTAGAATTAAATACAATATATGTACAAAAACGTCGTGAAAATACTTGGAAATGAATCACTTCATTTAAATGTTATATGAAGAGTAAAAAAAAAAAAGAAAAAAAAATCAGACATGTTACCTATACCATCTCTATTGATGAAAACGAATAGGTAGCTTTCAAACATTCAGAGTGTCGCTTTTTCTTTTTCTCCCTTTCCTGTCGTCTATGATTTCTTTTTTTATCGTTTCATTCACAACATCATAAACGTCCTTCAAAGGACTATATAAAAGACATGTACATGTTATTTTATTATAATAGAAAGATTTCTTTACCATTTTCAACATATATTTCATCAATTTTAGACTATAATTTTTATTTTATTTACTTCGAAATATAATGTTATATATTTTTGTTATTAATCTTATTATATCTGGTTTATGGTGTCAAAATATTAAACGAGTTATTGTACAACAAGGAGGATCTTTTTCATTTGATTGTCAACATGATGAAACAGTTTTATTTGGTAGACGTTTAAATGAATGGTTAGAAATTCAAGAAGATAATGAATATTATTTATATTTAAATTTAAATTTTAACTATTTACCACAAGAAAATATTTTACGTGTAACATCAAATTCTGCTCAATCAAAACATAATGGATATTATACTTGTCAAAAATCAACATGGATAAGTACATCGAAAAATATTATTTATCAAATAATACTTGCTGGTATCTAAAAATTATTTTTTGTTGTTTTTGTTTTAAATAATTTATTTTTCTTTTAAGATGTACAATCATTTTATTGGAATTATATATGTCATGGTCCAATAGGTTCATGTGAACGCTTGGATGATGTAGTTGATGAAAATTTAAGTCGATTCGAAGTTGCTGATCAAACAAATACTGAATTATTTTGTTGTGCATCTGTAACAGGTTATGGAACTGTAAATATACATATGAATCGAGTTGGTGATAGTTTTGGTGATGTAGAAGTAAATAGAAAACAAGAACTTGATGGTACATGGGTTGTTTGTGCTAATCAACGTACGATATTAAGACGAACATCAAATTTTAATCAACAAGTATTAACATGTGAATTATTAATCGATAATCAACATAATTCAATGCTTTCGAGTGTTATTATAATAAAAGGTAATTGAAATTTGATTATAAATAAAAAAATATGTTTTGTATAATTCTAATAGATCCAATTCTTCCGGATCCATCATTGAATTATAATTCATATTTCGAAGAAAATCGAGATAATGAATATTTTAATGAACCTCGATTATCTGAAATTCGATCAAGAAGAAAATCTATGACTGGTGTGAGCTTTTAATGAGTTTTGTTTTTGTAAAAGAAAAATTTAATTTATATATTGATTTAGGAAAAAAACTTGCAATTATTATTGGCTCTGTCATTGGTGGTCTTTGTCTATTAGGGTTATTAATTGCTTTCTTAGTTTGTCTATGTCGTCATAAAAATGGTATTAAGATTAAAATTTTTATTCTATTATAGAATTAATCGTCTTTTTTTTCTTTTATTTTAGCATCATCAAGGTAAGTTCAAGAATTCAAATGATTGAATGATGGTTCTTTTTTTGTTCTTCTTACTTTTCGTTTGATTTATTCAAGTTCAAAAATGAAGAGTATGTATGAAATTAACATACTTATATAATCTCTTGATATTTTATAATAATTAGATTCAAAGCAATATTCACCAGTTAAAACTATGGAACAAACAAGATATAAAAATCAGACGAATACACAAGGTAGATTAATGATTAGAGATAATTCTTAACTTTTTATTTATTTGATTGAAAAATAATAAATGAATTTTTGATTCTTTTTTTTAATAATCAATAATTTTTAGATGATGAACCTGTTTATGAAGAACCAACACAATTATCTCGAACATCACCTATATTTACACGATGTTAAGTATTATAGATAAATAGATCTCATTGTAAGTATTAATTTATTTATCGTTGTTAATTTTATCATTTGTATAATGAGTATGAATTGTATTTGATTGATTTTGATTTAATGTACATGTTGATTAAATTAAATCTTTTTATTTCAAGTGTTATTTGAAATATCTCTTTTTTTTTCTATGTTGTTTGATAATCTGAGTGATGCCTTTGTTTTTCTTGATATATATATATATTTTTTTTTCTATTGTATTAATGATAAAATATATTCGAGTGCATGTCATGCACAATTTGTATATATACAGATGGATAAAATCATTTGTCAGCAACATGACTTCGCAAAATTAAATACACATTTATCTCGAGATAAGAAACCTTTCTAGCGCTAATTTGTATATGTCAAGTTACTCTAGATATCATAAAAAAATCAGTGTTAGAGATCTTTGTTCAGAGAAATTATCAGATAAAAAACTAGTGTTTAAGAAAAGACATTGACCTTCTCCTCATGTAGTTAAGTTTAAAAAACATTCTGAATTGATGCAGCATTTTTGAAAACTAAATAGTACATTCTGTAGACAAATTTTCAATTTATAAAATCGCTATCCAAAGTTTTTTCTAAACATGTCTAAATTTTTCAAAAAAAAAATCGATTTACTGTTTGTTAGCATCATGTCGGAGGAGTACGTAAAAATGTTTTGATAACCGAATGAGAAGTTGAGAACCAATTCCAAATGGTACAAATCCTTTTTCAGAATCTCTAAATGATGATTCAGTTTTTAAGAGAAAGTTTTTTAGAGTCCAATCTTGTTGATAATTTCATCGTTGATACGGTTCGGGCTGTAGAGCCTTTCTTGAATTTTTCTGATTTTTTTTCTCATACAGTTGTAAAGAGATTTCCTAATTACTTTTTAATTAATAGTCAACTGAAAGAGCCAATATGTTTACATATGGTAAACGGATCTATTCAGAAAAATAACCATTGTAAAGAATCAAAACCAAATAAAATGTGGATATGTCCCGGTTTGTTTGAAATAGCTCATATATTTTGATATCGAACTAAAACAAACTTAAACGATTATTTATAGTTTAATACGGCATCTTAAAAGTGATAGTTGTCCAAGGATTAAATAATAGAAATTCTCATAGAATTTGAAAACTCTAAAAAAAACAAAAGAATGTATTATCTATAAGTTAATTCAAGATCTTTCGAAAAAAATATCATTAGACATGTATCGAGACTATGGTGTCGCTGGTAAAGATGAGAGTTTTTCTCTATAAAACGTTTATTGCGAGTGTTACTCAGCTTGGTTCCATCGACCTGATATCAATAGTTTTTAATAATATACTAAAATTTTATTCAACTTTATATATAATAAGCCTGTTTATTAAATATGTAATATACAGAAAAAAGAAAGAAACAGTACATATGTTAATTTATATTAATAATTATTTCTTGTACAAAAAAAAAAGAAAACTATTTATCCATTGAAATTAAAAGTATTAGAAATTCTCGTTCCTAATTGTCTCATTTTGTCTGTCATACGATTCATTAATTCCATAAACTTTTGTCGAATATAAGCTGCATAACGTTGTATTTCATCACGAATATGTCGAAAAAAATGATTGTCTACAGCAACAATAGTAACATCTTCAATATTTTCAATATTAGTTGGTAACGTTGGTCGAGAAGCTAAAGAAAAAATCATCCAAATTCAAATTTTTGTTTTTATTTTTCATTCATTTATTAACATACCAAGACTTTGACAAACATCACATGCTTCCATACTAATAACATCTTCATTTTCAACAAAACACCATGGACCATTAATATTCATATTTGGATTACGACAATAATTTTTTGCTGCTTTTATTGATAGATCATTAAAAAAATTTATTTCATTTATAATTTCACGATAGACTTCTTGAAAATCAATCCATGGTAAACATTCATGTTCAAATTTTGTATATGAATGTTTACCTTGATAATGAAGAATTCCATCTTCAGTTATACTACAATCTATTATAGAACAATAATTATATATTTAAATAAAATATATTCTTCAAATTCTGTTAATCTTACCAGAAATATTTCTGATAATAATCGGTTTGCCTTCAAGACTACCGATGATAACGATGATTGTAAGTAATGACAAGAACATGGCTATTCTCCTTTTTGCGTATCAAATTGTGATATATATATCGATGCAAAGTTCGTTCTGGAAGTAATAATAATAGTGGATAGGAAGAGAAAGAGAAATAATACATAACAGATAGAGAAAGAAGAAAAGGAACAAACTTAAATAGATAATACCATATTTAGGTCCAATTTTTTATTCATATCTAGATGTCAGTAGTCAACGATCTTATTCAACTCACATTTTCAACTGTACGACAAACATAAAAAATTTATCCAATCTCTAAATTTATTGACTTCGATCATAATCATATGATATAAATTTATTTTTTGAAATTTTCATCTGATAGGCTAATTATATACACCTGTATCGAATTATACCATTCGATGATGATCTATGACGTACTATTTCTTTTACTCAGCTTTATACGAAAATTTTCGTTAGATTTGTAATAATTTTAGAACAAAAAAAAAAGCAAACTTTCATGTTTTTCTTTAATAAATATTTATTTTTATTATGAACCGTTCATTCGGTAATACATATTCATCAGCAGTACAATCAACAAATTCAAGAATGTCTACCGCACCAAGTACAGAATGGGAAGATTTACGTAAACAAGCTCGTCAACACGAAAATGAAATTGATACAAAATTAATGTCATTTTCAAAATTATGTTCAAATTATGTTGCACATGATCCAAATGATACATCATCATCATCATCAACATGTACACCATCATCATTTGAAACAATGTCAATTGAAATTGAAAAACTTCTTGAACGTTTATCAGATATAAATAAACGTATGTCTGATGTTGTACCATCATTACTTGGACCTAATTCAGCTGCAACACATACATTACAACGTCATCATGAAATTTTACAAGATTATCGTCGTGAATTTGAACGTACAAAAGCTAATATAAAAAATTTTAAAAATCGTGAAGATCTTTTAATAAATACAAATATAAATATAAATAATTCTGATATAACATCAACAGGTTTAAGTAGTCGTCGACAAGATTATTATTTACGTGAAATGAATCATTTAAATAGTTCACATAAATTAATGGATACAAATATTGAAATAGCATCAATGGTTAAAAAAGATTTATCTGATCAAAGAAAATATTTATTAAATATAACAAATAAAATTAGTACTATAACTAATCGTTTTCCATTGGTTAATAATGTTTTACAAAAAATTAAAGTTAAAAAACGTAAAGATTCACTTGTACTTGGTTTTGTCATAGCTATTTGTCTTATTATTCTTCTTCTTTATATGTTTCGATAAAAGAAATCTATATATTTATATCATATATAAACCTAATTTTTTTTCTCTTCTTTTTTTTTTGGCGTTGTTTTTTTTCTTTTTGTTTATCAATTGGTTTTCTTTTGATCGGCGAACATTCGATTTTCTTTATGTTTCTATAATAAATCATAAATAGAACAAACCAACTTTCATTTTTTTAGATATGGATTATCATATGTATCGTCATGTATTATAGAAATAATCTATGAATTTCTTGTTTGGTATGTAAATTGATACGATAGAGAGTGTTTAGTATTTATCTATATATGAATACCATTTTCAATGGAAAAATATTTTGAGATTTGAAATGAAAATAATAGAAAAATGAAGCAATTGATTATGAAATAAAGAATGTTTAATGTAGATTATATTAGTTGTAGAAAGAACATTTTAATAGATAAGATAAAAGTTCCAAATTTAATTTAATTTTTTGATATCATGTTGCAATGCAAGATCTAGAGACTTGATCATTTTTCTTTTTGTTAGAAAGAATGAAAGATCTAGTGCAAAAATATATAAAAGAATTTGATTGAAAATGGTTTTTCTTTGAAGGCTATAAAAATCTTAGAACAAAATGCATCTGGAAATTTAGTCACAACTTTTTCGAATTCATAAAAAAACTTTTACACAATACAAACAACTTTCTTTTAGAGTTCTGCAAGACAAACTTTTTTCATGTCCCGTGCCGAAAATTTTCAGAACTGTCCCACAAAACTCTACTTTCTTTTTATTCTTCTTTTTCAAGTTTTTTACCCTCAAGATAGGAAACTACTACGCTAACAAAAAAAACGAAATATTCAATGTGTTTTACAATGATGGATATAAACGTTATTACAGTATCTTCTGGTATCATTGGTTGTTCATAACTACTGATCACAATCAAAAAAACCAAATTTTACTTTGAAGAGAAATTGTTAGAAGACATGTATTTTATATGAAAAAAGAATCTTATTGAGTCTTTTCCTAAGCAATATTATTTGAAATAGGACACAATTTTCTCTGTAGGATATTTAGACAAAACTTGATTTTCATGATAGAAACGCCAAATTGATTTTTTTTTCTGATTGAACTATTCATTGTTCAGCTTCTTGTATATCCGATTAATTATTTTAATAACACAGGAAAGCCATCATTGTAATCAACCGTTACATATATTATGGTGAGAAAAGTCGAGAATGAAAAAAGTCAAACAAATATATTTAGATATAAAAATTAGTATCCGAAGTTACAGAAGAATTTTTCAATACTTTCTGTTCTAAGGTTTCTGTGACAATCGGAAAACATTTACGATTGAATTTTTTTATATATCTTTGCACTAAACATTTTCCTTTTTCTAACAGAAAATAGCTCAAGTCTCTACAATATTGTATTCTACATGAAAAAACAAAATTAATGCAAGACTTTTGCTTCATCCGTTGTATTCGAGAAACGTCTTCTGTAAACAATAATTAGTGACAGTTTTCCATTTTTTGGTTCATTAAGTATGCTGCGACAAGTTTTTTTATGTGAAAAGCAGAATAATATATTCAAGTATTAACTGTTATAAATTTAAAAACTAATTTTCAATTTTTAACAAGAAATTATTACATATAAAAACAACTATTTTTGAATTACAAGATTTTATTTAAGATTATTTCATCATTATGATTTTGGATTGTTTTGTAGTAGCATAGAATTATTAATAAATAATATAAATTTCTTCATCTTGCTAATAGTAATCAATGTAAATGAATCAATAGCAAAAAAAGAAGATAAAAATAAAATTAATTTGATTTATATAGATAATTTTTATTATTACTAAAAAAAAACGATTAATAAAATAATATAATATTTTTGTTATGTTTTCAGATATAATAAATAATGCGTTTATCATTTATATTTCAAGCAGCTAAAAGTGGACGACAATTACTTGTTAATTGTGAATCTCAAGCTACAGGTCATCGAATAATGCGTATACGTGAACGAACAAAAGATAAACTTGAATTTTTACATATAGATCCATGGATTAATCAAGAAGTTTTATATAAAGAAACAAGAAAAATTAAAACATTAGAAAAACAAAACAACCGTGAAATACATATTAGTCGTTTAACATAATTTCTACCAATTTTCTTTTTTTTTTTTTTGTTTTCTATTATAATGACAAGGAAGATTTGTTATTTTCTATGAATATTTCTTTTTCTAGATGGCTTCAACACAACGATCAGTTTTGATTCTATATAAACAATTACTTCATGAATGTCATAAATTTTCACTTTACAATTATCGGTAAATTTTTTATTATTTTATATATATATAGAATAGATTATAAATAACACTGAGATGAAAAAAATTGACATATCTCTGCTTCAGTTCGCTCGAAAGAACTAATGTTTTGATTAGTGATAAAAGCTTATTTAAAGATTGTCTGTTTTTTATACTATCAAGTTATATTTTTAACTTCACTAAAGAAATTTCATCTATTGTCAATTAAGAAAAATACATATGAAAAATTTCATAGATATTTTTTAGTTTTCATCGAAGAGAATAAGTCAAAACAAACTTTATTGAGTGATAATTATATTGATGTATACAGAGCAAGTTTTCAAAAACAGTCAGTTTAAAATGTTGAAATTCGTGCTCTATAAGTAAAACGCATAGTTATCACCCATTGAGTACTATTTTCCTTGCATGTAATCGTTAACTTTTAAACTAACTAGTTCTGAAAATTTTCTTGATTTACATCGCAATAGTTTCCTAAATAAAGTTCATTTTGAATTCTTATTATTATTCTCTTAGATGACAAATGAAAATTATCTATGAAACGTTACATATATAATTTTCTTAACTGATAACAGATAAAATTGCTTTCATGATACCAACAGTAATACTTATACTTGCCTTATCCCTATGAAAAATAGTAAATAAAAAAATCAGCCGATTTAATTGAGCTGACATAGAGATATTTCTTTTTTATTTTTATCGTAGTGTTATTTATGACCTATCCTATATATATTATTTGATTGATTTAATCTTATTTAGTGAATATTTTCTTCGACGAGTACGTGAAGAATTTCATCAAAATCGTAATATACAAGATGCATCAAAGATTGCTGAATTGTTAAAGTTTGGACAAGAAAATCTTGGAGTCATACGAAGACAGGTGAATTAGAGAAATTAATAAAAAAAAAAAGCAGAAAAAAAATTTTCGTATTGATCTTATAGTACGGATACTTTTTTTTAAGAATTAGAATTTATCTAAAGATTTTCCTTCTTTTAGGTCACCATTGAAAATCTTTATGCACCACAACAAAAGTCAATTATTGAAAATCAACAACATTCGTCTATTTCTTCAAGATAAAATGATGATCAACTATCAAAATTTGTTATTATTACAACAGTTTTTCCTTCTATGTGTTTTTTAAAATACAGAATACATTAAACAAAGAAAATTTTAGTTTTATGTCTCTCTTTTGAATTCGACATTAGTTGTTTTTTGTATTAATTGAATTATTATGAGACTAAGAAATATTTATATGATGACTTGGCATAGATGTTCATTGTGACTGGAAATTTGCCACTACCGCGATGGTTTTTGGAGAAATTCTTCGAAAATCTCTTCCGTCAGTATCGTAAATCTCTTCCGTCAGTATCGTAAATTAATACAGTTAGACTAAATCCATCAGATTCATCACGATTCTGATTATTGGACTTGCAGACATTCACATCGGGTAGAAATTTATACAATCTTACAATCTCCCTAAAATAGAAGCAGCCACTATCGGAATCCTGTGTTTGAATTATCTTTCACGCCATTGGTACCATCGCGATAGGATCGTCATGGACATCTCTGTTATTTTGACAATGGTTATTCAAACGTGAAGTGTCTCGACAAAAAAGACATAGAATATGAAAACTATTCAAGGTTGCTGTTTTTCATGATGATGCGATAATTAACATTGTGAATAATTGAATTTAATAGATATCGGTGTTTTTTTTTTGTCTTTGTTACTTTTGATTTAGAAAATTTGATGTCAATCGATTAAAAATATAATTGATACACATAATCAGATAAATCATTTGGATGAAATCGATGGTCAATTATCAAACATTTTAAATCAATAGAATTTAGTTCAAAGATATCTATTAATGGTATGATTGGTATTGAACAAAATTTTGAATAAAACTAAACGATAAGTGCGTGAGTGGAAGGAAATTGTTGTTTTTTTTTATTATTTGGGAATTTTTAGTCACGAAATAATGGGTGAAGTTATAAGTTTTGCATTTGAAAATGATAATGACAAACGGTGGTGTCCCGAGGCCGATTGGAAGATTTTTACTAAAGTTGGCCGAGTTTGAGAGAGGGTTGAGCGTCTTTTTTTTTGGTATCAATGAGCAAAATAACAATGAAATGCTGAAACAAACCGAAAATTTTTCAAGATTGAGAAGTGCTTATCCTGGGATCCTTCGCTCGGAGCGGCACTGATGACAAAGAAGAAGAATTAGTTTTTATTAATAGACATAATATGATTGAAGCTATCCTGAACGAAATACATATAAGACTAGGAAAATAAAATTTCATGGAAAGTTCGTAAAAATGTATATTAAACTATAATTTATTTTTCCATAAATGATTAAGATAATGAAACAAAACTAAATGGTAAAAATTAAAACAAGAACTATAATTGATGCTAATGTTAAAACTCAATGAAATTCACTTCGACGACATTTTTTTTTTCTTCTGTTTTATTATTTATTATCAATAAAGAATGTCATATCATGATGATTCGGTTACATATCTATCTTTATCTTTTTTTTCTTAAACATTTTGTTAACTATGATATGAGCTTTTAGTTCTATTTCTTTTATTCATTTATTTATCTTTTTTTTTCCTCAAGATGACGACTAATATTATTATGAAATTTTGTTTCATCGTTTGTTTTCTTCTGGTTTTTGTCGAATTATCATCATCAAAATGGATTAAACCACGTCGTTTAAATATTATAAATCATTCAACAAATCGTATTCGTGACGATCGATGTAGACAATTTAGAATATTTATACAAAAAGTTGATCATTTTGGTTTTTTGAATATGGATACATATCAACAACGATATACATTAAATACAGATTATTGGGAAAGTGGAAGACCAATTTTTTTCTATGCAGGAAATGAAGGTTTGATTCAAAATTTTAATAGACAAAAAAAATTATTCTAAATGCTTTCTTTTTTCTTTTTTTGTTTAGGCGATATTGATCTTTTCTGTGAGAATACTGGTTTTAGTAAGTTAATGAATTTGTTATTTTCCTTTTCTTTTTGTTTTGTATTGAATATTTTCTAGTGTGGGATATTGCACCAATATTTAATGCTATGGTTGTATTTGCTGAACATCGTTATTATGGTACATCATTACCATATGGAAATGCATCATATTCAAATCCGGAATATAGTAAATAATTTTAATATCAAAGATTGTATTTGAAATATTTTTATTTTTTTAGCAAGATATTTGACAAGTGGTCAAGCACTTGCTGATTATGCATATTTACTTGATTATATTCGTGGTTCGATTAAAGGTGCTGAACAAAGTCCAGTAGTTGTTTTTGGTGGATCATATGGTGGAATGTTAGCAGCTTATTTTCGAATGAAATATCCACATGTTGTTGTTGGTGCACATGCAGCATCAGCACCTATTCTTCAAATGACAACACCATGTGAATTATTTTCTCGTGTAAATTTTCTTTTTAAATTTGATATTATAATTATAATTATAATTTGTTTTTTTTTCTTTTATTTTTAAAGATTGTTACTCAAGATTTTCGTCTTGAAAGTTCACAATGTGTTGATATTGTTCGATCATCATGGGATGCTATTAATCGTATTGGATCAAATCCAACTGGTTTAGAACGTTTAACTAATTTATTTAAACTATGTCGTCCATTAAAAACAGTTGATGAATTAAAAGATTGGTTACTTGATATGTATGGAAATATAGCTATGGTTGATTATCCATATCCAACATCATTTTTAGCTGATTTACCTGCATTTCCAGCACGAGCATTTTGTGCAAATGTTACATCATCATCATTAGAAACTGAAAATGATGATGAAGATATTGTTCGAAGAATAGTTAAAGGAACAAATGTATTTTTTAATTATACTGGTCATACGGAATGTTTTGATACAGGTTCACAAGGTAAACAAACAATATAAATCTATTAGTTTAATTTTATTGTAAGAAAAAACAACAAAATTTCTTTTTTGTTTAGGTTCACCAAGTCTTGGTGATTTAGGTTGGTCATATCAATCATGTACTGAATTTGTTATGCCAATGTGTTCTGATGGTGTAAATGATATGTTTGAAAAACAATCATGGGATTTTCAAGCATTTTCTGATGCTTGTTATGCTCAATGGAAAATTCGACCACGTTTTGAATGGCCATATATTGAATTTGGTGGTAAAAATATAACAGATTTTCGTTATTATTCAAATATTGCTTTTACAAATGGAAATCTTGATCCATGGTCATCTGGTGGACTTGTTACAACAGTTGCTCCAAGTCTTCCAGCTATATATATAACAGGTGGTGCTCATCATCTTGATTTACGTGCAGCAAATCCAGCTGATCCACCAAGTGTTTTACAAGCACGTCAACAAGTTGTTGCACTTATTGAAAAATGGATTTCATAAATTTTTTTCCTTTATTTTATTTTATTAAAAAATATAGCCACATACAAAACAATAAATAATGCGAAGAAAAAAATAAATAAGACTTGCTATTCTTTTTTTGTCAATTGTGCTGATTTCAAATACTATAATCTAAGGTTTATTTCATGCATATTGCTTGCGTATTTATTAATATAAAGTTGAAAATGTGCTTAATTATTATACTATTTATATTCTATGGTGTACTGAGTTGAACTGTAGGACCCATTTCAGATGGTTGATACAAATTAGGACGTGCTTTAAAACGTTTTGTACCAATGTCAATTTCATATTTTGCTCCGCGTATATAATTTGTTGTGATTTTTTCATTCTTTGGTGCATGAACATATCCCAAGCATACCTTGAATGATAAATAAATAATAAGAATAATCAATTTATTTAAGAAGTATATCAATAGTAATGATGAAGGTAATTTAATTCTTTAGAAAAATACTTAAAGAAACTTTCTCTCTATATGTTCTGATAATAAAAATAATGTTCTACATTTCTGTGATACTTTGATCAATCTTCAACTAATATAATAATAATAAAATTTTGATAAGAATTATTTATTATGATATCTTACAGTAATAATAGATCATATTTTTTTCTCGTCCCCTCTGATGCTTAGTCACCTACATACGTACTAGGATAGATAAAAAAAATGGTGATGATAAAACAAAAAAAGAAATATAGAAACAAATTCAGCAAGTCTTCATTTCATTAAATGTTCGAAATAATCGTTCTACTCCGGAGAGGGTAATCCTCCGAAGGGATTATGAGAAATTAAATTTATTTCGTTTTATTTTTATGCTTTTCAAACTATTATGACTTGCATATTTTTTCATCCTTTAGTCATTCTGAGCGTGGATAAGCGTGTTTCCTTCATCTACACGTACACTTGAAAGAACTAAAATATTCTTATAGCTTAAAAAAGAAGTGTAAGCATAAAAGTAAAGCGAGATAAATTTGATTTCTCATGAACGTATGTTTCCTTTTCCTATCTTGAAAAGTCTATCTGTTGACTCATAGACATCAGAACATTCCTAATCCCGGTTATATACACTCTATTGCAACGGTTTGCAATTGTTTTGATTTTGTTTGATTAAGTCGAATAAACAAAAATCACATGATGCCCGATTCGGAGAACTTAACTTGCCTATTTCTACAAGTCATTAATAATAACATTTAAACTTGATTAAGTAGAATATGAACGTGATGTTTGAAATCCATCTAGTTAAAAGAAATTTCAAATATTAAAAGTCAAAAACTATTTAATAAATTGTATTTAAAAGGAAGCAGACAGTGATAAAGCAAATATTTTGATTTATATTTGCTTGACGTCCTCCTTTATAAACATTCTATGTTATATTGAACGATTCTCGTCGATGTTTATAATGTAGAGCATTGTTTTAACTATCAAATCATATAGAGAGAAAGCTTTTTCTAAGGATTTAAAATGCTGTCGCCACTATTTTTGGTAGGTCTTAAATACATACTTGTTTTCCGAGCGTAAAACCGTATGCCGTAGAAGTAACAAAACCACAAAATTCACCATTACGATAAATGGGTTCACCACTCCATGGCCTGACGAAAAAAATTGATTAAGTTGGATAAAAAAAAATAATATTTACCATGGATCGGCATCTTTGTCATGATCTTCAAGAAGAAATTGTATAAATCTCTTATGTATACCTTCTTTTTTTTGTTTTAATAAAGCTTCTTTACCAATAAATTCTTTCTAGAAGAAGAAAAAAAAATAAATATTTGAATTAATTAAAATATTAAATTCATACGTCAAATGAAACACGAAATTCACGATTTAAATCAAATGGTGTTGTTTTTTTATCTATATCTTGTCCCCAAAATGCGTACATTCGTTCAATTCGAAGAGTTCGTTGAGCAAAATAACTACAAAAAATAAATTTAATTAAAACTACAAATTAAATCTCTTCATACCCAGCATTAATTATTCCATAATCTTTTCCTTGTTCCATTAACTGTTCATATACACATAAGGCATACTAAAATATATCAATGATTTATTGTTTTTTTTTCTTAAATAAAACATTTCTGTAATTATTTACTTCGGATGGAATATAAAGCATAAAACCATCTTCACCAGTATGTGTTAATCTCATTGCATAAATATGACTAACAAAACCAACATCAATTTCCTTTAAAATAAATAAATTTTAATTAAATTGGAAACTTTGTTTTTTTTACTGGATTACGTGAATTCTGGCTCGATGCGAAATTTCGGTGACTTTTCAGGTTAAACCGAAAGTCATATAGAACTTCCGGCTCGGAACCAAATTTCTCTCATTAACTTTCCTAAAAACCCGAAATCCTTGAAAATATTTGATATGCTCCGTAGTGCGTAATGGCATGCATTTTCAATAAAACGTAGTATTCAGCAGTCTGCTTTGATCCTAAGACTGTTGTTTGATCTCAATGCGTGTTGCTGATAAATACTTTTTAATGAATACTGCTAAGCACTATGGAGTGTGCAAATTATTCATAGAAATAAGGTTGTCTATGAGAAATAATGAGAGGAATTTAGATGCGGTCCGAAATTTTGAACTCCGCGTTTTTTTTTACTTACTCGACAAGTCATTCTTGCAAAATCATTAAAATTTTCATCACTTAATTCTGCTAATAAATATTTAGCTTTTGGTCCAATAACATTCAATGCTGTATAAAGTGATGTTACATCCGAAAGAAAAATTGATCCATCTTCTGGTACATGAGATTTTAACCATTGCATATTTCTTGTTGATTGTGAAGTTGGACTTATAAGAAGAAAACTAATATAAAAAAGAAAGAAAATAACAATTTCAAAAAAATATTTTTGTTTTTTTTATATCTTACTGATAATCATCAAGACGTATAACAGAACAATCATTTTCATAACCACCTTGTTCATTTAACATACCTGTATGAATCACACTACCAATTGGTTTATCAATATTATTAGCACAAAGCATTTGAAGAAAATCAACAACACTTCGATTAGCTGATTTAAGTTCATATTTTGTAAATGATGTCATATCAATGACAGCAACACCTTTGCGACATGCATTATATTCCCGTTTAACAATATTAAACCAACGTGCTTTACCAAATGTACCCTGTTTACTTAGATCTTCTATATTTTCACCTTAAAATAAACAAGAAAATAATGCAAAAATAAAAAAAAAACATCAAAAATTTTTTTTTTTAAATACGTTTTTCAAATTCATCTAAATTAAAAAATAGTGGTCGTTCATATCCAAGTACTTCACCAAAAACAGCACCAGATGCTTGTAATTTTGGATGTAATGCTGATACACGTAATTTTCTTCCTGTACGATATAATGACATACCATAAGTTGGATATTTTAAAGAATATTGTTGTCCTAAAAGATTCTATTACAAAACCAAAAAAAGAAATTTTAATGAATAAAAATTTTACCAGGTATTTCACGTAGACGATCTTTTAAAAATCTTTTATTTGTATGTAAACGCATAAAACGACGTATATCAATAGGCCATGTACTTATATTTGTATTTCCTGTATGTATTAATTCTGAAATATATTTTCCTACACCACCGGCAAGTGCTACACCATTTCCATTAGTTCCGGATGCAACAAAATAATTATCAATCTAAAGAGAAAATTTATTATTAATTGATATATAAATCAATGACTAACTTCAGCAGATTCATTCAGAATTAATCGACCATCAGGTGTAAAACTATCAGCACCTGTTATTAATGTGTCATATTCACTTGAACCAAGAATAGGAAGTCGTTTGATACTATTGTTTAATATCCAATCTATGAAAGATTTTTATAATTAAGAGTTTATTTGAGAAAAATAAAATAAAATAAAATAACTTACGAAAATCATCCCAGTTATCAGGTAAAAGTGAATAATTAAATGTATCTGGTACACCATTTAAAAAAATTGGCTTTGACTCACGAAGAAAACCGCCGATTAAAACACTTTCATTAGCTAATGGTTGAATATAAAAACGTTCATCTGGATTGTGAACAATAGGAATATCTTTTGGAAAATTTGATATTGGTTTTGTTTTTAAACAGACGTATTCTAAATATATAACATAATATTTCAAAAAATAAAGTTATTAGGAAAATCTCTGTGAGATTAAAGTGTGAAACATAATATAGTTGCTGTTGTTAATTACAAGAACATTGTTTTATTCGATCTATTTTAGGACACACACACACACACACTTCTTCTTCATCCTCTTCAGAAATGCAATAAAGAAGTAGTTCATTTTTTTTTATAAGACTCACATTCAGAAGCTGAAAATGAGAGAAGACAAAATTTTGAATGTGATTTAGATGAAATACAATTAGTACTTCGTTTTTTGAGCTAACATTTTGCAACGTATAACACTAGTGCAGATCAAAACAAAATTTGAACATACATGCGAATGTCTATGTTCATAGAAATGTGACCTTCGAAAGAAGAGCTTTTGATTTGTTTTAGTGAAAAAATAGGAATGTAATCTTAATCACCGAAGGCAAAGAAAACTTTAGATAGATTCAAATTAATTTGGCTTAGATTTTTTGTACAGTTCTTCTTCGTTTGTAATCAAGGGTCCTCATTTCAAGTCGTTGCCAATGTATGATCTAATATTTACTTATATAAAACTCAATATTTCCACAAAAACTTCGTTTAACGAGGAAAGTCCCTCCTCCAATTGATTAGTTGCTTTTGAGTTGAGACTATGTGCATCATGTAGATCCTAATGAGCTATGAATACACTGGAAAGAGTTCAAGGTCTTAGCACACTACTACTGAGATACTCCATTTTTACAGTATTTGTTTTTTAGTTAATGCCATAGTTTCCCTTAGAATCTTTTCAAATTTTGAATTGAAATCTTCTATGGAAAATAGACTCACTAAGAATAGCTAATTATGAAAGATTTAGATATTTTCGTTGTTCCTATCCTAAGATACAATAATGATAACAACTGTATAGATCTGCAGATTTGACGTATCTATTTCAGAAAAGGAACAAATCAAAAGACCGAAAACTTTCATAATAAACTATTCTCGTTAATATCTTTCTCTGTACAAATTTCCTAATATTTCTGAAAGGGATCATGGTATTGATTTTAAAAAGGCTGTAAAAGTGCAGTATCTCATAAGCAATAAGCTACGAGTTCCGAGCTCTTTTCAAGATATTCATAGCTCATTAGAGTCTACATCCACACATAGTTCGAATTTCAAAATGATTAATCAGTTAGAGGACTTCCTTCATAAGTCTATTCAACTGAGAAAATGTTATTATTAGACGCTGGAAAATATTAACATTTAGCAAACAAAAACATAATACACTACTCAAATCTATCAATCTAATGGAAAAAGAAAAAAAAAGTATTTGAACCTACGCAAGCCTTGTGGCTCCGTCCCCTATGGTGGTCGTTTATCAATAACGTCTATTACAATCTGTCATCATGCGTTGCTAAGGTGTCTGTCATGATCTGTGATGTTTCCATGGTAATGTTTGTAGAGAATGGGTGTAGCTACCCAAAACCCTTGTCTAAATGTTCATGGTTTCTCTTATTAAAACAACAGCTGCTTTCTTATCTAAATATGTTAATCTCTAAAGCTTACCACATGCTAATGTAGGTATGCGTACACCTGGTGAAGATTGATATCCGAGTTCACGAGCCCACTAGAAAAATAATTGAATTTTGTTTTATTAAGTTAGAAAAGAAAAACAAAAATTTTCTACCATTCCTGTGCAATTAATAAATATGTCACATTTAATATTTCCTTGTGATGTAACAGCACTTGTTACTCGATCATATTGTCCAGCACGTTGTTTTTCAGTTAAAATTTCTTTAACATAACAATCTTCAACGATTTTAACACCTTAAAATAATCAAAAAATAAATTATTGATATTTATAAGAATATTTTTTTTCTTTTTTTTATTCACTATTTTCTATTGCTAATTTAGCAAATGTTAAAGCAAGTGGTACAGGATCAATCATAAAATCATTTTTAATCCAAAGACCACCCTAAAACGAAAAACAAAAAGTAAAATACATTGTTTTTTAATGTTTTCTACTTTACCCAAACTTCATGTGGATCAATAATAGGAAGTTTTTCTTTAATTTTTTCAACACTTAATATTTCACAATCAATTCCTAAAGCTTTTATAATTGCGTATTGCCGTTTTAATGTATGTAATCGATCTGCTGTTTGTGCTATCCATAGACTACCTTTTTCAGAGAAACCTAATAAGCACAAAAGAAAAAATAATAATAATAATAAATTTTTCTATCAAAAATTTACCAATATCATGTCCTTGATTATGTAATTTTTCATATAATTCTCTTGAATATTGCGTAAAATGTGTTTGAATTAACGTATTTTGTAAATGCATTCCTTGACCTGCACTTTGCCATGTTGCACCTGAAGCTAACCTATCGATTTTGACATATATATATGAACACTTTTTCCCCTTAAATCAAATATTACTTTGATTTTTCGACTAAAACAATATCTTTAATACCACATTCACTTAAATGATAAGCAACTGATTGTCCAATAAGTCCACCACCAGCAATAAGAATATAACATGATGATGGAATTTTATTTGTTAATTGTAATATTGGATTTGGATGAATAGGATGTGGTATTGTAGGTGATTCATGTTGTTCAGATGAAACTAAACGACGAAGAATATATGATATTTGATAATGTAATTTGTTCTTTAATAGATAATGTCCATTAGAAAATATTTTATGCTGCAGCATGAAAGCTTGCAAGCATCTAAACAAAAAATCTAAATCATCTCATCAAAAGAGAATTTTCAATTTTAAAATTAAACAGGGAACTATGCTATATTTTTTTATTTTATTTATGATGACAATAAGAGAAAAAACAAACCCAAATAGGAGTACGAAAGAAGAACAAAAAAGAAAAAGGAATAATCTATTAGGTTCAATGTCTTGTGGGACGGATAAACATGAGGATTTATTGACTTATTTGCCAGATTGTTTCTTCTCGGTTTTTGAACTTTGCTTCTTCTTCTTTGCCAATGTACGATTTGAACCATTATATTTTTGTAAATTTGCCATAACATAAAGTGGATAGATCATTGGTACAAGAAAGAACATACCTAATACAGTGAGTTTTTCCTAAAAATTATTTATAAAATTACAAAGAAGAAATGTATGTATGAAGATCAAGTTTTTCATACTGTTTTCGTCAATTTAGTTATTGGTGGACCTGCTTGTATAAGAGAACTTTCAGCACGACGAGGCATCATCATTAATGCCTGACGACGAACTACTTGTGTCAAAAGACTTGACATTTTTTTTTCAAATACCTTTTTTCTGTTCAAACAAAATCTAAAATCATTATAGATTTAATAATAATTTTGCTTCAAAGAATTCAATGAAAGTGTTTCTATCTGTGATTTCTCAAATAAGTTCAATCTATAGAGAATTCTTCTTTGTTTTTTGTTTTTTTATTGTATTTAATTTCTATACATTTATTGTTTGTTGATTGAAACTACGAAAAACGATGTTTACAATTGTGGCAATAAACATATGTCCAAATGGTAATTGATGGATTGTGGAAATTTTGATTTGTTTTTCTTTAAATAAAAATTCTTAAGAGAAATTTCTAAAGCAAAAAAAAACATTTTTTAAGTTTGTTTATTAATGATTTTTTTTCTTACATATTAACAGCGCTTGATTTTCATTGGTTAATTTTCTTTCAAGATCAACAATAATGAAAAGACTTTTCTTTTTTTTGAAATATTTCATTCGTGAATAATATATTAAAATCTTTAGATTTAACAAAAAGTAAAAAAAAAAAAGAAAGAATCATGTCACGAGAGTCAAATGTTCTTTCTGTTTGGGGAAATAAAGATTCAATGAATTTAAATTCACTTGTACTGAATAATATAATGTCATCACAATATTTTAAAAGTGCTTTATATGAAAAAAAAACTTATCATGAAGTTGTAGATGAAATTTATTATCAAGTAAATACTTTAACTTTGTTTTTTTTCTTTGTATTATATCCTTTTTTTTTATAGGTTAAACACTTAGAACCATGGGAAAAAGGTAGTCGAAAAACATCCGGTTTAACAGGCATGTGTGGTGGGGTAAGTTAAGAAATTTATATACATATAGAAATATTTCTTTTAGATGAAAATTTTATAGTTTTTTCTCATTTTATTAGCAAGGTTATATTTGGATTTGGGTTAATGAAGGAAAAAAGAAAATCGCTATTTTTATTATCTATCCAAAGTTCGAACATTTTCTAGTTTAAGAAATAATCAATTGAATTAACCAAAATTTATTCTTCATTAATACTATTTTTATTGTCGTAAGTCTATATATTAATGAGAGAGGAATATATATACTAAAAATTAACTCTCTAAAATACAGATGTCACTGAATAAATTATCGAGAGCAATCAATTTTTAGTATTAGTCTATAAATATTTATAATATACATATATACATATGATAGCACTTGAATATTCACAAAATTTTCTTATATTTGAATCGATTTAAATGAAAGAATATATATTTTTTGTTTCTGATTATTCAGGTTCGTGGTGTTGGCGGTGGTGGTATTGTATCAACAGCTTTTTGTTTATTATATAAATTATATACATTAAAATTAACACGAAAACAAGTTATTAGTTTAACTACTCATACTGATTCACCATATATACGTGCACTTGGTTTTATGTATATTCGGTAGGAAAAAAAAAAAAAAAGAAAGATAAAATTTATTATTGTATTTTTTTGTTCTTAATTATTAGATATACTCAACCACCAAATGAATTATTTGAATGGTTTGAAGAATATCTTGATGATACAGAAGTAAATTGAAATAAAAATTTCAAATCTATTATTATTATGATTTTTTTTTCGTTCAAATAGACTTTAGATGTAAAAGCTGGTGGTGGTTGTATTATGTCAATAGGTCAAATGCTTCGTCAATGGTTAACACGTATTGAGTATGTAACATAATGAAATTATATTCTTATTTTATTACAATGGGTTTTTTTTTATTAAGATGGTATGATACATTATTTCCTCGAATACCAGTTCCAACACAAAAAGAAATCATGGAAAAATTACATGCTCATGGTCCATATAAAGGCGATAATTTTGGTGCATATTCAAGGTATGTGAGGTGGAAAGTAAGCAAGAAATGATAGCTTATTCATTGATTATATTTTTGTTTTTTTTTTCTTTTTATTTAATTTCTTATAGATATGATTATGACGAAGAACAATGTGAAACAAAATCATCAAATGCAATTGATATGCCTGAAACATTTGGTAATGCTGCATCATCATCATCATCAAAAGATCGTAATGGATCTCATAATCATCATTATTCATCATCAACAGATTCTTATCGAAATAGAAAATATAGGTAAAATTTAATATTTTTAATGAATTAATGGAATTTTGTTTTTTTTCGTTTAATTGAAATAGATCATCACGTGATGATCGTTCTCGATCACGTTCACCTGATCGTCGACGTCATCATCATCATTATCGGGATGATAGTCCTGATCGTTCTAAATCACATAAACATCAACATCATCATCATCGACGTAGTTCATCACGTGAAGATAGACGACGACATTCTCATCGATCAAGGTCACCTGATAATCGTTATCGTAATGATAGACGTGATCGTTCATAAACAAAATTCATTATATTATATAGATTTATAAATAGACTCTAAATCAAAATCGAGAAACAAAAAAAAAAAGCATAGCTATATTATTGTTGTTTTTTTTTCTTTTTTTTTCTTTCTCTTGTATGTAAATACAAACATTATTGTCTGCATAACGATCATCCATTGATTTTGTTTCTTCAGATGTCTATACTTAATTTTAATGTTGGTGTACTTGGACATGTCGATTCGGGAAAGACAAGTCTTGCTAAAGCTTTAAGTACTGTTGCTAGGTAGATAGAAATAGATATGAAATACAAAATTCATTTAAATGAATTGATTTTGATTTTGTAGTACAAATGCATTTGATAAAAATCCACAAAGTCAAGAACGTGGAATAACACTTGATCTTGGTTTTTCATCATTTACAATGGATATACCTGAACATTTAATGAATAGTAATTATAAACAATTACAAATTACTTTAGTCGATTGTCCAGGACATGCATCTTTAATACGAACAATTATTGGAGGTAAATTAGTTTATCGATTAAATATACTCAAAATAACACTAGTTCAGGATATACCTCCTCCATTTTTTTTCATTGTTTTTGATTCTCGAAGACAACAGAACCGATCAGGTCGGGATTTTTAGTATTAGTTGAGTACCAAAAGTAAGAAGACATTTATACGAAGAAAAAAAATTTTGATGCAAATTTTTACTGGAAAAGTCTGGTTTTTCATAGGATTGCATCTTGATTGCTTATCTTTTTTCAACCAGGCTGGAATTATTAACACTGATACTTGGAAGTATTCTCTAGAGATAAAATTGGTGGTTCTTGTTTTTGACTATCCTACCCGGATTTACAGGATCCTGAAAGTCAAGAACCTACTTTTGGCTCGGAACTTTGATGTATTTCTCTAATAAGAAAAAGAAAGTAAGATTTCTGGATTACCTTTGAGACCAAGGTTTCTCAGCAAATGTTCACTGTAAAATTTTTTTTTTCCTCGAACAGATGTTTCCTTATTTTTGGAGCGCTATCTGCAATGTTCGATTTGTATTTATTAATCAATAAATTCTTATATTGATGATCAAAAAAAAAAATTCGAAAATTTTAAAGTTAATAGATGAAGATAAATCTATTCCAGAATACTTGCAGTGTAATCTCGTAATTCGATCATGCTGACAGCTAGCGACTTGATGTTTTTAGCAATCGAAAAAAGAAGAACTTCAGACGTCTTTTTGATTGATACTATACAAGACAATATTATTTTAAGACTCATCATCTTTGCAGAAGAGGGACTTCATATCCATAGTTCAATGTATCACTCACGTAATTATCTTCTCGGATCTCGATGTCGAGCAAACCAAATCGCGCATCCATTCGATCAAATTATATAGCATTCTGCTGACGTTTTATTAAGATTTCTTTAAAATCGAATGCCTTTTTCATACATTTTTTCGCAAAGATCATGGGTTTTAAAATAGCTTTATCATATATATCGTCAGACAAAAAAAACATCCGGACTTCTTTTCTTTCCATTACTAAAAATCTGCAGACTAGTTGTCATGATTATCAAATTATTGACCTTACACCTCTCCCTTTGATTCTGATGTGGACATTCATTTTTACGTAATTTATATTTTTTTAAAAATTCTTTTTTATTTAGGTGCTCAAATAATCGATTTAATGTTACTTGTAATTGACATAACAAAAGGTATTCAAACACAAACAGCTGAATGTTTAGTTATTGGTGAAATAACTTGTGATAAAATGTTAGTTGTATTAAATAAAATTGATCTTATTGAAGAAACTCAACGACAATCAACAATAGAAAAGGTAAATCAAAAACAAAAACCAAATATTCTATTCATTTTATATCATACAACACATTTGTCTTAGTTATTCAGATGACAAAACGACTACGTAAAACATTTGAATTCACAAAATTTCCTCAAGCACCTGTTATTCCTTGCTCAGCATCATCATCATTAAATTTAAATGAACTTATATCAACACTTCAACAACATGTTTATATTCCTCAACGATCACCAAATGGTCCATTTATATTTTCTGTTGATCATTGTTTTTCAATTCGTGGTCAAGGAACTGTTATGACTGGTACAATTCTCTCAGGCTCAGTACGAATTAATGATGTAAATGTCAATTAGTATTTTTTTGTTTTTACAAAAAGAAAAAATGAATGGTTTTTTTTTATGTCTTTATTTATAGTCAATTGAAATAGCAGCACTTAAAGAAGTTCGTAAAGTTAAATCAATGCAAATGTTTCATAAACCAATTGATAGAGCTATTCAAGGTGATCGTATTGGTATTTGTGTTACACAATTTGATCCAGATAAACTTGAACGAGGATTAGTTTGTAAGTACAATTCTTTGCTCTTTTCTTTCTGTGGAACTCACATATATTTTCAAAGAAAATAGTGAGTGTAAGTCGAAATTCTGCGCTCCTCTCTATTACAGACCTTAGCGACCAACCGTCAGACATTTTTCCAGAGTTTCTCAGGGCTGTTCTAGAACATTCCAAAGTCTTCTTCGAAATTTAAATAGCTGAAATATGTTTGTGAATATTCTAAATAGTGCAATTTTTAATTTTTGCACAGATAAAAATCTATACTTAAAACGAAAAATAAAACTTCA